GTGGTACCCTGGAGCCACGGGGCAGCTGGCGGTGTTCTGTGCTGCTGGAGTCCAGAGGCCTCACCCACGTGGGGCCTCAGTGCAGAGTATGGATCAGATTGAGGCCTCCCCCCACACCCACCACTCTGCGGCAGGCACGTTTTATGTCCTGAGACCACCAAGAGTATTCAGGTGTGAGTACCTGAGCAGCTGTGGGAAGCAAGGACAGAGGGCGGACCTACAGGGAAACAGTCCTGTGCTCCAGCCCTCCCACCAATTGGTCCTTTTCCACTCAGGCAGGGATGGACACCCACCCCTTACTACCTACAGGGCCTCAGTGTCACATGGGGGAGGGCGGGGCAGGTAGGTGTGTCCTCTTGGGAGCAGGACACTCAGTGTGGCCCCTGTGCACCCGGGCCTCTGGGGCAGTGCAGGGAGGGGTCCTCTGACACGAGCTGCTTCCTCAGGTAACTCTGGTGGAAGTCACATTCCGTGCTGCTGCAGTTCCTCTTTGATGTCTCCATAGCAACGTTCACATGGATTTCATAGAACATAAGGTGTTTGAGCTGGAAGGGACCTCGGAGATCAGTTCCTCCCGCCCCCTCATTTCACAGAGAGGGGAGCAGGCCCAGACTGTGTATGCTACACGCCCGGGGTCAGTCAGCAAGCCAGGGACCCAGCCGGGGCCTCTGCCTTCTGGCACCACTCCCAGCCAGGGTCCCTTGTCCTCAGATCGCAGACAGCTGAATTCCTTAGGACTGTCTTCTTGGGAGGTGCTCTGAGGGCACAAGTTTTGGGGGCTCTGCCCTTCCCCCTTTGCTAAAGGACGCTGAAGCCCAGCCTCACTCTGCCCTGCTCAGTCCTGTAGCTCTCATTCCTGTGCTTGGTGAGGGCAGGAGTGGGCACAATGGGCACTGTACTCTGGAAGCTCTCAGGCTGGCGTGGAGGCAGTGAAGTCCCCCAAGAACCACCGGAGAGCAAACGTGGTTCCGTGTCTGCGGAGCAAGATTTGGGGTGGGAGAAGCCCGGGAAGTTTGCCCAGAGGAGGAGGCTCCAAGCAGAGCCTGGGACGAAGGTCGAGGAGGACTCTCATTCCTGTCTAAGGCTGCCTGGCTTGAGGGCCACACCCTGTGGGTGAGTGGGAATGTGAGCATGAAGCTTGAGGGCTTGGAAAATCGGGTTCCAGAGAGAGACTGCCCGAGGTCATAGGTTCCAGAAGGTTCTCGTGTCTGGGGACTCATGGCACACATCACTCTAGGACAAGGGGGTCAGACACATGGAAGGGCAAGTCAGAGGGCAGAGTGTAGGAGCTGAAGGCCCTGGACATGAGGGGACCAGGAATCTGGGCCAGCAGAGGGTGCTGGGATAAGGGTCCAGAAGTGAGTCCTGGGGTTGTTCCATCCCTTTGCTGGGACATGGAACCATGTAGCCCCACCCCTGCCCAGCAGAGCCAGCCCTATACCGGAAGGGTTGAGGGCTTGTAAGTCTGTATCCCCCTCCCCAGGGACACAGACCTCACTCCTCACCTGTACCTCAGCCCCAGGGCTCACTTCAATTCCAAACCCTGCTTCAGGGACCTGGCCTGGCCTGTGGGAGGTCTTCTCTATAGATGAGAAGATCCCGAGAATCTGGGCATCCCCAGATCCCACCAAAGCTACCTTCCTGAACTTTGCCACCAAACTGGTCCCTTTTCTCCCCCTTGCTGGGTACCTGTTCTCCTTCTCTATGCCATGTGACAGACATTTCCAAATGCTCAGAGTCTGCAGTGTGGCCGGGACGCAGTGCTCGCTGGGGACAGCTCACCTCGGCTCTGCATGGAACCTGTCAGGGTGTCTTCTTCACTAACGTGGATGGCAAGTGGGGTCCTCTCCACCTGGGCTTCTCCATGAGGCCACCTTGGCTTTCTCACAGTATGGCAGCTGGGTTCCAAGAATAAGTGTTCCAGGAGACAGGAAGGGAGAGCTGCCAATCTGGAAGGTCTGGGTCCAGAAACAGGCACAGGGTCACTTCCATTGGTCAAAGTAATCACAGCTCCTGCCAGGGTAGGAGACATAGACCCTCCCCCTCACTGGGAAGAGTAGCAAAGAATTTGCCATCTTTAATCCATCTTAGCACCCTCTGTCTCTGCCCCAGGGGCTCTGACTCTTTCTTGCCTCCCCTCTGGGCCCGCAGATTCTGTCTCTCCTGGAGTTCTCCTCCATCCCCATTACTTCCCCATGGGCTACTGCAGTCCCCTCAAACTCATCTCCCTGTCCACAGGCTGCACCATCCATCCCCTCCTGGCCACTCCCTGTATTCCTATAGCAGTGCCCTCTCTCCATTGCTCTCCTCAGAAACCATGTATGGCTCCCTACTTCTCACTGAAAAATTTCCAAGCTCCTAGGCAAAACATTCAAATTCACCTTACAATCTAGCCCCCTTCTATGTTACCTATTGAATTAGCACCCATTTCTTCCAAGCCACTGGACCACACTTTGGCCTCTTCTGCTCAGGCTCTCTGAGCCTGAACATATTCACTCTCTCCACCTGGCAAGTTTCTCTATCTCCACCGCTGTTGGACTCCTGCTCAATCTTCAAAGCCCAGTGCAAATGCCCCTCCTCCACAAAGCCTTGCTCTCACTACTCATCACACTAGTCTTACTCTCATTGTATGTTGAGGCATGTTCTCCCTTAAATCCTTATTGGCAATGATGTGTCCTCTTGAAGTGTGGCCCACATTTTTAACTCATACTTCTTTCACCAATTTAATAACTGTTTGTTGCAGCCTGGAGCCAGCTGCCAGGGATATGACAGTGAGCAAGACAAGCTGTTTCCTGTGCCCAGAGAGCTTACATTCCAGAGAGTGAGACAGATGGCAAATAGAGGAACCAAGAGACATAATGATCAAAGATTAGGAGGACTGTAGGAAGGCAAGAAAGGCAAGAAGGGGTGCTGCGAGGCAGGGACCAAGAATTCCCTCTTCAAGAGAAACGAGAGACCTGGATTTTTATATACGCTCCTAATTCTAAAGGTTGCAAGGTCAAGTCTTTCTCCTCTGCTCTCAGCTTCTCTCCCCTCCTAGCTTCCCACTCTCTCTGGAATGCCTGCCTCCTTCTCTCTTCCTGGTTACCCTATCAGCAGCCCACTCCCCAACTCAGGACGCCCCACCCCTAGGGCACCCAAACTCCTCTGTTGTTCCCATGCCCTGGCCATGCTCTGGCAGCAGCTGGCAGGAGGACGTAGGGAGCCCACTGCCTAGGATGCTAGGGCCAGTGGGCATCCCCTACCTGAGACCCTGGGCCAACCTCCCTGATGTTGGCCTCCTGGGAGTGAGACACCTGGAGTCCCCAACACCCCCACTGCAGGCTTCACTAACCGCATCTGGCCTGGAAGAAGTGAGGAGCCAGAGGAGCGAGACAGAAAAGGACGCCAGGGGGCCCTCAGAGGGCTTCCTCAGATTGGTCCCCAGCTCTGACAGAGCCCTGAGGGATAGGTCTCCATCTCCAGGGAACCTCTGGGCAAACCCTGCCAGGAACAGTTTATGCTCTCTGGAGCCAGAGTTCCCATGTAGAAATCCCGGCTCTGCCACTTCCTGCCTGGTGACCTTGGACATCTCCCTTCCCCTCTCTGGGCCTCAGTTTCCCATCTGAACACTGGGGATCAGAGCAGCACCCACCTCACAGGATAGTTCTAAAGATGACATGCACCTGGCACACGACGGCGCTCGGTGAAGGGCAGGTTTCCAAAGCCTCTCCCATGCAGGGCCCTGCCAGGCCCTTTCGAGGAATTGCTTTGTTGGGCGGCATCCTTCCATCTGTATTTTCCCAGACCTCTGAGCCCTAGAGACAGCTTCTGCCCATTATAATTATTTGGACTCTGGGCACTGCCAGCTGAGAGGGCTCAGGCCTCTGAAGGGCCCAGGCTCCCAGTAACAGCTGTCATGTCTCAGGACAGAGGAGGACAGAGCAGGAGGGCTGCCCTTCGTCTGCACCTGCTGCCCCCAAGCCCTGGGAGAGGGGCATCTCTGCTCACCACTCCCAGGATTCCATGACCACCTCAGCCTCACTCTCAAAACCCAGAGCATCTTGGGTGGGTGGGAGTCCTGGGACAGAGCCCCAGGAAGTCCAGGAGGGGAGCAGGTGCCAGGTCCTGGAGAGGAGTCTGCCAGGGACCAGCATAGGGTTTGGATTATCAGCACTTGAAAGCACTGGAAAGCCAAGGAGACAGCCACAGCCTGGCAGAGGGGCCTCCCACCTCTTTCACCTCCCAGATCCCTGAGGGCAGAACCCCAGGGGAGGGGACTCTCAGAGGGCCTGCTGCTGGCTGTGACAGTGACTTCCCTTTCCCCAAGGATCCTGAAGCTTCAGCCCAGCAGGCAGAAGCTGCAAGGGTAGAGCGCCCTGCCGGCTCAGCCCTGCCGCCCAGCCTGGCCGCTATGTCCTGTCTCTGATAACCAGCTGTCAGCTGAGCCCCGAGCGGCGGGCGCACCCGGGTTTGTTTGCCAAGCCCGAGTGTTGGAGCTTCCTGGACCCTCCTGCCCTGGAAGGGAGGGGGTCGGTGCCGCAGCAGGCTAGGTGGCATCTCCGGCGGAGAAGGGACAGAATCCCAGGGTGCCTATCCCACGCAGGTCCACTGCCTCAGTGCCCCCATCTCACGGCACTCTCCTCGTCCCAGGCCCGGAGGCAGTCCAGTGGGGGTCACTGGGCAAGGGGCAGAGCCAGGCGGGGTGGTGCACAGCCAGCAGAGGAACGACAGGACGCTGGGTACTCCCTCCCTCACCCACCGCCCCCAACCCGCACCCAGGCCCGATGCAGATATGGAAGGTCGTCGCTGGCTCTAGGGCAGGGAGGTAGCTGTCCCCAATGGACAAAGGCGCTCGGACCCCGAGCACCCAGGGCAGGGCCCGGACCTCCTGACCCCGCCCCCGGGGAGGCCATCTCATTTGCATGGCCCCGCCCGAGAGCGGCCATTGGTAGCGGCGGCGGGAGGCCGGGCCTGAGTGGCTGCGGGGGCGGCGGGGGCGGGGCAGCGCGGAGCAGGGCGCCGGGGAGGTAGTTGCAGACGCCGCGGAACAGTTTCGGCTTAGGGTCTGGGTCTGGCTCCGAGGGCGCGGGGAGCAGGGTGTCCCGGGGCGCGGCGGCTGCAGCGGGAGCGTACTGAGCGCCCGCCAGCCCGTCTGCCATGTCCAGGAAAAAGACCCCCAAGAGCAAGGGGGGTAGCGCGCCCGCTACCTCCGCACTGCCCGCCACCCACGGGTCCCAGCCCGTGCGTCCCGGGACTGCGCGCCCTGGCCCCGAGGCACCTCCCAACAGGCCCCCGCAGCCCGGCCGGTCTTCGCTTGGCGGCGGCGGCGACTTCTACGACGTCGCCTTCAAGGTGAGCCGGGCACCCCCAGCCCCATGCGAGCGCAGCAGGTGGCGTCCGGTCGGAGCCGAGTGGGGAGGTCCGGGGAAAGGGTGCAGGGCCCTGCAGACCTTTGGCGAGGAGCTGGCTCGAGCGGCACCCCGCAGCTGCAGTTGGCATGGCTGGCGCGGTGCATCACACACACACACACACACACACACACACAGCTGTCAAACCCGGGTTTGGGATACCCAATATATGGCAGGGCCTGCCCCCTCCCCCTCCCCACCTAGCTGGCATGGCCGGACAAGGGGTCCTGCGGAAGTAAGAGCCTGGCAGGTGTCCTCTCCCTGTTCCCTTATGCTTCTGCCCCCACCCACGCTCATCATTTCCCACATGCTGCCTTCTCTCACCCCCAGAGTCTTTTGGTCTCTTCTCTTTAGGAGGCGAGACTAAGAAGAGGTTTGCCAGTTTGGTGGGGAATGCTGGGGCCTCCTTCAGGCCAAGGCAGAAGCTTGTGAATTGTGGGGGCGGGGGTGGCAGGCCCATCTTTGGGTTTTGGAGCCTTTGGCAACAGGCTGGGGGAGGGGAGGAGAGGGAGGCCTGACTGCCCCTCCCTGTCCACAGACGTGGTCTGAGCCTCTCCTCATGTCAGGATCTGACCCTCACTTGGCAAATTCCTCTAGAGCCTTGCTGGGATTGGAAGAAGCCCCCTGGCACAGAGGCCCCCCACCCAGGCCTCCCAGCGGTCAACCCTCAGGTTCTGCTCCTCATTAAGCCCCAAATGCTCCCCTTCCAGACCAAGCATGGCGTCCAGATAGCACCCTGGATGAAGGCAGCTACTCCCACTCCCCACTGATGGAGACAGGCCAATGTTCAGGAGAGGGGACAAAACCTTCTAGAGGTGGAAGATGGAAGTCCAGGCTCTGTGTTTCCCCCAGGCCCTGCTGAACCTGCAGACTTAGGATACCTCCCTCCACTCCTGACCCTCACCCACAGCCCATCTGACCAGGCCAGCTCAGAGAAGACCAGACACCCCTCCGGGTGGGCCAGCACCCAGGTCCCCTCTGCTCTTTCTTTGTGCCCCAGGTCATGCTGGTGGGAGACTCGGGCGTGGGGAAGACCTGCTTACTCGTGCGCTTTAAGGATGGTGCTTTCCTGGCAGGGACCTTCATCTCCACTGTGGGCATCGACTTCAGGGTAAGAGTGGAGGCTGATGTCCCGAGCACTGACTGGGCCCAGCCCATGCCCTGGGCCCCCAACACCAGCTAATAGCTGCTCGAAACACCCCTGGGCAGCTGGTTCTCCGGTTCTCCATTATCCCTGTGGCACCGACAGGCTCATGAGGTGGAGCTCCTGGCTGGACCACCTGGCTCCCACAGTCAAGGTGGTTGAGGTGGGATGCCTTAACCACCAAGCTGCCTGCCTCCCGACATCTCAAGGTCCTGGAGAGAGGTGGTGGCTGTATACAATCGAAGCAGAGATGGTACCCCTGTGCCTGGGGCTGGCACGACCCTGGGGGCTGTATCTTGTGCACTGGGGGCGGTGGATGCTGGTGTCCCCATGGGAACTCAAGACCCGTGTCCACTCAGGAGGCCAGCATCGCTGCCCCACTGTACAGAGGGGCCCTGAAGTGCCAGGTGGGCTGCCCAGGCCATACCAGACAGATGGCTGAGGCATTGAAGCACACACCCAGTCTCAGAACCAGGGAGAAGTCCCTGCCCTTGGGTGAGGAGGCTTATGGGAAATGCTCCCACCTGGATGCTTTCCCTGGCAGAGCCCCCTCACCACCTCACCCCCTGCTAGAGGGCTATGTCCTGGGGTCCTTCTGGGGGATGTCCCTCGACTCTTGGCTCCCCAAGTGCCCTCCAGCACCCCAAGCAGCCTGTGGGGTCACAGGGGAATGATGGGAGCCACAGCCTTAGGCCTGCAGGGCTCAGGCATCAGTCTAAATTCCACGTGCTGAGGTGATGTGTTCTCAGCAAATCCCAAATTTGCATTTTTCTCACCCTTTCATTAGACCCAGTCAGCAGAAGGCTGGCAGGGAGGCTCCTTCTGGGGACTGGGAATGGGGGGCTCCCTCCAGTCTGGGGAGCCATTCTCTACCCTGTCTGTGGGGGCAGAGCCCCTCAGGTCCTCTGGGATGAAGTAAGGGTTGAGGTGACAGAAGGGGGAGGTTTAGGCCCAGTCCTCTGCCTGTTCTGGCCTCACCTCCCCCCTTCTCACCTCCCTCTTGGCTCTGGGGCAGGTGGTGAGGCTGTGTGGTTCGCACCCCTGTTCAGGGTGCCAGGGAAGGCGGGATGTCCTCCCCAGCGTCCCTGCAGCGGGACAGATGGCTGCACCCAGTTCCCTGGAGACCCAGAAGCACCCTGACAGCAGGCGCTGGGTGAAGAGGGAGGTGGTGCTGTTTCCACTGCCCGGGGCCTCAGCTGGTGGTTAGCAGCTCCTGTCCCCACCCCAGCAGATAGGAACCGGGGTTGAGCCACTCCCTGCCCTAGTCCTGAACTGGGAGGGCCTGGCTAGGGAGCATCATCAGCCAGCAAGCAAGCACATAATGAGCACCCACTGTGTACCAGGCCAAGTTCTGGGCTCTGTGCTTACTGCATGGGGCCCTATCCTCAGGCAGCTGCCGTCAGAGCGGGAAGAGAGGCTTTCAAATTACAACAAACACTTTAGCTCGTACCAGGCCAGACTCGTTTCTCAGTGCTTTGCATACAGTAGCTCATAAAGTAATCGGGGCAGCCAAGTGATGAGCACCCTGGCTACCCCCATTTGTGGATGGGGAAACTGAGGCACAGTGTTAGTAATGAGCCTGGGGTCACACGGTGACTCCAAATTAAGTCGTGCAAGTGGCTCTAAGCAAAAGGAGCAGTGTGTGCAGAGCTGTGAGAAATGCTGGTCGCCTGGGAGAGGGGGCTGGAGCAGGGCCTTGAGACCTAGGAGCAGAGTGCAGGGGGCAGGCATGCAGTGTGAAGCTGAACCGGCAAGTAGGCTCAGGGAAGCCACCGGGGCTGGGCTGGGCACCAGGCAGAGGAGGGCAGCTAGGGTAAAGGAGAGAGAGGGGAGGGGCTGGGTGCAGGACTGAGTGAGTGACTGGGGTGGGTGGCGACCGGGGGCCCTGCAGGGCAGGGGAGCTGGTGGGGCTGTGTGTCAGGCCTCCAGGAGGGGCAGAGAAAGAACCACCTGGCCCAGAATGGACACAGCTGGCCATGGAGGGCGGCAACCTTCCAGTCCATCAGGACAGCCAGCTAAGCGGGGGCGGCCTGAGCACCCTCTGTGCACAGGTCACCAGGAGGGGCTCAGCAGCAGGAGGTGTAGGAGGTATGGGAGAGAGCTGGGTGGACACCAGTACTTGGATTCAAGGGGAAGCTTTATCTGTAGGTAGAGGGCAGTGAGGTAGTCAAGAACCAGGTGGGCCCTGGAGGCAGAGCCAGCTGAGGCCAGGGATAATGAATTAGGGACACACCGGGGTCCCCTCAGTCCCAGGCTCAGTCCTGGCCTGGCACCGCCTGCCTCCCCCACCCTATCCACCCCCTTCCCCCCCACCCCCCACCGGAGGGTGGCCCCGGTCTAGCTGCTGCCTAAGATGGTGCACTCGGCCCTGGGCCCTCCTTGGAGCTGGCTGGTTGTGTTTCAGAACAAAGTTCTGGATGTGGATGGCATGAAGGTGAAGCTGCAGGTGAGAGGTGACTGGGGGAGGGGGAATTGAGGGCAGGGGGCACCTGGGAAGGACTGGGCAGCCCTGACAGCTGCACTATGCCCTTGCTGCAGATCTGGGACACGGCTGGCCAGGAAAGGTTCCGCAGCGTCACCCATGCCTACTACCGAGACGCTCATGGTGAGCTCATGGGCACCGTACCCTAGCTCCAGGGAGTCGGGGCCACACTCCTTAGGCTTCTGCTTGGAGTAGGGCACCCTGGGTGTGAGTGGGCAGAAGTGTGAAGGGTGCGATGCATGAGGGTGAGGGTGATGGGGAGCTGCTGTGGGCTCTGCAGGTGTCCTCACTGGCCCTCTGCCCCCAGCACTGCTGCTGCTCTATGATGTCACCAACAAGGCCTCCTTCGACAGCATCCAGGTCAGTGGCTTCCTTCCTGGTGGTGGAGACAGGCCGACCCATCCCCAGCCTCCCTCAGGCACAGATGGCATCAGGATCCCAGAGAGTTGAGGTCCCTACTGACAGTGTGGAGAGGAAAAGACTGCCCCTCTGGGCTCCTGATGGTCCAAGTACAGTGGTTCAGGTTGAGAATGAGCTGAAGGGAGCTGGGGTGACCTTCTAGTCCACCAGCCCAACTCCTTAGATAAGGTACCTGTTGGATCGCCCCTGCACGGCACACGGGGAGCACTAGTTCAGGGGCCCTCCTGTTAGCCAGACACTGACAGGCACTCTGTGGGGTGTGTCCTGGAGGGGGGCAAGGGGTGCCAGGAGCTCCAGCCTCCAGCCTGTCCTCAGCTCTCCCCCCACAGGCCTGGCTGACAGAGATCCAGGAGTACGCCCAGCATGACGTGGTACTCATGCTGCTGGGGAACAAGGTGGGCACCCCAGCCTGTCTCATCTACTCTGGCTCTACAGAGGGTGGAGGGAGGTAGGGGAGTGAGCTGGGGCCAACTCTCACCAAGACTGCTGTGCCAGGTGGACTCTGCCCAGGAGCGTGTGGTGAAAAGGGAGGATGGGGAGAAGCTGGCCAAGGTGAGCTGCGGTTGGGTGGGCAGCCAGAATGCCCCTGGGGCTGCAGGGCCTGAGCTGTCCCCACCAGGTTGCCAACGGCTGTTTGCAGGAGTACGGGCTGCCATTCATGGAGACCAGCGCCAAGATGGGCCTCAATGTGGACTTGGCTTTCATGGCCATAGCAAAGTAAGTCCTGGCAGTTATCGGGAAGACCCCCAGACCCAGCGTCTGAATCCCCTTGTTGGGGGTACAGGCCACCCTATTCCATGGTCATCCCTGCCCCACAGGGAGTTGAAGCAGCGCTGCATGAAAGCTCCCAGTGAGCCTCGCTTTCAGCTGCACGACTATATCAAGAGGGAGGGCCGGGGGGCCTCCTGCTGCAAACCCTGAACCTGGCTGGGGATGGCCACCAGGGTGTTCTCCTGGAAGACTGGAGAGTCTACACACCCCCGACTTCACCACCCAGCAGCCAGTCCCAGGGTGTCTGTTTCTAGGAATCCCAGGCTGAGCCTTGCCCTTCCCTCATCTGGGAAGCCATCCAGAGCCTCAGCCCCAACAAACAGGCTTCAGGAAGCCAGAGGGTCCGCAGCCCTCCTTCACCTGCTGCTGAGGGTTGTGCCCCCAAGGCCTTCACAGAAGAGCAACCAACTTCTACACAGGAGGGCTACCCAACAGCGTATAGACTGCCAGGCACCTGGTCCTCCGGACCACGGTGCCCGTGCCCCGTGTACAGCTGCCTGAACACCTAGAAAGCCATGTCTGCAGCTGCACATGTTGCCCAGGCAGGATTCCTGCCCACACCTGGGGCAGAGGGCTTCACCACGAATCACATCAAGGACCAGAGCTGCCTGCTACCAGCCCACCCACCAGGAGGCCCTGGTTCAAACATCAACAGGGTCTTTCATGTTACCCTGGAGGATGCCAAGGCTGTGGCTTTGTAATGCAGTGAAGAGCATGTGGGAAGCCACAGAAATGTCAGGCAAACCAGGACTGCCAGCCCTCGCCTGCTGACCAGGGCACCATCTCAGCAGGTTGATACAAGGCCTGGGCTTGGCAAGGTCAAGCCAGGGGGGTGGGCAGGGCACTCCACCTTGTACTAAAATCTTGAAGTGTTTTTTTGTTTCCAGTCCTAGTGAATAAAGTTGTGTTTTCTGGAGTGCCTACCTTGTCCATTGAAAGAAAGCAATGCTCAGGGACTGTTAGTGAGGAATTACAGGAATTAAGAGTTCACCACCCACCCCAAGGCAAAGGCACAAAAGAAAACCTATCCTTACAGGTAAAAACAGAGAAGGCGGTCCAAATAGGTGGAAAGTCACTGGCGCGAACTTCCATTTTCATGCTCTGCCCCTAACCGAGACTGCCCAGAGATGACCCAGTCGTCCCATGGAGTCCTCTGGGGTGCAAACAGGCATGAAAATAAAGACATGTGTGCTCCAATCAACTCACCACCTTTGCTTTATTGCTAAGCACTTCAGAGACTTATAGATGTCTTTGAGGAAAGAATCCAACGAGACCAAGAATCCAGAAGAGACCAAGACTGTGAAACAGATGTGTTGGGCTGGAAAATCCCCTTGACCACAAGAATGAGGAAACTGTAGTCACTTTGTCTTCCACCCAGTCAGGGCCCGAAGCTCCTGCTAGTACCTTATCTTGAAGTGTCAGCAGGAGAAATGGTTGCAGCTGCTCAGCCACCTATCTCTTACCTCAAATCTCCCAAGTGACGTGGACCCCAAGAACTCTTTATTGGGAGGATGAGGGGCGGAGGTCTGTCTTCTGTAGCTTCTTCAGGCTGGCACTGGGCTCATGGACCCTACCTAACTGGGGCCACGGAACTCTTGCCCTGTTTTGTCCAGGGGCCCCAGGGTGACTTCTGCTATTCCAGTAGGATCTATGTCAGGGAATGGCTGGAATCCCTACATCACCATCATCTTGATGTGGAACTGTTGCAACCTGGAAGCAAACTTAACAAGCAGATTAAAAAGGCAGGGGCCAAAGTTCAGTAAAAGGATTATGGCAACTAGAGGTCCAAGCAGGGGGCAAGAACCAGGTCTCACTTGATAACATCTCCTTAATTGCAGTCTAGGTCAGCGCTTGGGTTACCCTGTCTGAAGGAATGAAGCCATTTGGCGTGGTCACATTTTCTTGATGTCCTCTTCTACTAGCCCAGAGTTATCAATGTAGGTGCAACATGTCTTGATAACTGCACATACTCCTTGTTTGGCTAGGAGGAAGTCTAAGGCCAGTCTATTAGCCATCACTTTACTAGCCAAGGAACTTAGAGACAATGAGAGTCTGGTGAGTGCATTCCCTGTGGATTCACTCAGGACAGGGCATCTGAAAGATTGTGGAACACCACTTCACGATAAACAAAGCCTCCCCAAGGGGCCACCAAACCAATGGCAGCTCCATTTTCTGCCAAAAGGAGACCAATTGCCCTTTTGCCCCAGGGGTGGGTGATGTTATAGATGGCAATACCTGGGTTTGTTTGGTTACTCAGTTGGCCTAGTGTTACATTGTCCTGTAAACAGAGCACTGTCTATACAAAGAAAGGCCACAGCTAATCCCAGGAAAGGCAAAGAGGAATTGGGGTTTTTTGAAGAGGACAGTCAGTTTGCACCTGGACCACAAAGGAATAGATGTCTGGGAGAGGCACATGCCTGACACACTGTTGTGGAATTAAACCACTTCAGTAGAGTCTGCCCAAGGGGGGGGTTCCAGTACAGTTGGAAGAAAGGATCCCACCACTGAATAAGGGTGTATGAGTCTTTTCGAAGGCTTTGGGAGAGGCAAAAAACATGTACTACACGCAGGGAAGATGTGTGTTAGACGCTTGGCGCCATGCCTGTCCAGGAGACACATCCCACCAGCCAGCTGATCTTGGAGGAACCAATGGGTGGCGTTGCCTGTTTGGTCTTCGCAATAAAAATTAGGGGTAATGGCGGTGATGTCAACTGCTGGTGCATTGCAGAATTTAGTCCAGGCTTCTGGCATGGGCAGCAGGATGAGTTACCTTTATGACAGAGTAGAAGACAAATATGCTTTGATTGGGGGAGCTTTGTGTGCTGGATGCACTAACGAGAGGGGTCAGGTCCAGGCATGGAAGCTGTGCCAAGGGCTGGATGTGGACTCTGAGGGGAGCAGGGGTCGCAGGACCTTCAGCCAGAGTAAGTTCAAGGTCATCATTACTGGATGTGTAGCTTAGTTCTTTAAGCTTATAGGCGTCGCTTTGAGGACTGGGATGGTAGAACCCAGCACTGAGACAGATTCTCTCCCTGAACAATAATTCTTGAGATGTACTATTGTGTTGGATCCTCACTCCCCTGACATGAATCCCCAAAGGAGGGGGAGAAAAGTTGGGGTGACTAATAACTTCATAATGACATCAGAGTTCTAATTTAGGAAGCAACCGGAATGCAAGTAGTGTTAAAAGAAATCCTGCAGTAAACAAGAGCCCAGTAGCAAATATGGGCTCCCAGCCTACTGTCACTTATCTTGCTTTTGTTACCCGGAGAGCCCGAAAGAAATTAATGTCAAAGTGAGAGTTTACTTATCAATGCAGTTGTCACTGGCTTGGGGATCACCTTCTTGAAGAGGTATTTGAGGTCTTGGGCAGGTTCATGGGAATAGCTGGGAGGTGGGTCTTCAGGTTCCTGTAACAGATCAGTGGAAACAGGTTTAATTCTGGGTAGATGGACCCAACTAGTGACTCCATTAAGTTTAACCACTGTAGGGGTGCTTAGCAAAACTTGATAAAAGACTGTTTTGCTTTGGGAGTAGCTGGTCACCAGGGGACTCATTTTTCCAAGTCTTTTAAGAGCACCCAGTACCCAGGGTTTACACTGGAGTAACTGGGGCTGTTATCTGGGGAGAGCTGAACTGTTTCCACATTCTTGAATAGCCCCCTTCGGACCTGGCCCAGGTTAATAATGTATTTAAGGTGTGCCTAGGTTTCTCAGCTGGTCATCATGTCCAGGGTGAGGAATAGCCTACCATGTCATTTCAAAGGGGCTCAACCTAGTTATTTTAGGGGCTGCCCTGCTGGCAGCAGGTGGCACCACCTGCTATTATCAGGTTCTGATATTTCCTGCTAAGAGCTTACCCAAGGTTTTCTTTAGGGTATGACTGGTCTGTTCCACCTTTCCTGAGGACTGAGGTCTGCAGGACAAATAAAGGTAGCATCTATTTCCTAGGGTCTTTTGGGTAACCTTTGCTATGAATTGAGGGTCCACTGTCAATCTGGAGGTGTCAGGGCAACCCAAACCTAGGGATAATTTCCTTCAGAAGTGCTCTAGCCACTTCAGTTGCCTTTTCTGTCCTAGTGGGAAAGGCCTCCACCCATCCAATTAAACTACCCACAAAGACTAATATTTGAAGCCCTGGAAAGAGGCCATCTGAGTGAAATCCATTTGCCAGTCCTCTCCTGGCTAAGGCCCATGTTGCTGGACTGGGCTAACAAAAGGGGGGGGGTTTGAGATGCCCTCCTTATTTATGGGTGGCAGAGGGCACAGGCTCGAGTAACTCTTTGATATCTGGGAGTCACTTTCTCGTTAAAAGCCAGAAAACCACTGTACACACAGCATCATTCCCCAGATGGAGAAAAATCACGTAGCCCTTTGATTTTCCATTGGTCAGAAAAAGCAATTTTTGATGAGCCACCAGCCTTCTGTTCCCTTAGTTCACCCTTTTTCTTGCGCCCAGGTTTCCTCAGTAGTACCTGGGCATGCTATAAGGGGTAAGGGATGGGACTGTCATTTGTTGTATCAGGACTTTCTCTGCTTCTCCATCTGCCCTATTGCTCCCTTTGATAATTTGGGAGATTCCCTTTTGGTGTCCATGGCAGTGAATGACTGTTACTTGATTTGTTTGGTTTTTGAGCTGCCTCTGAGATCTCAGCCCCATACTTTACAGGGGAATATTTTGCATTCAAGTCCTCTTTCCATATAGCTCCATTGGCATGTAGAATGAGGTAGGCATATTTAGAGCCTGTGTATATGTTTACAATTTTTCCTTCCCCTAGGATTAAGGCTTGGGTTAGAGTTCGGCCTTCTGGGCTGCCATGGGCAGCAAGTTTTCACCTCTATGATGCTCTGCCCTCCTGAGCCCGTCCTTAATGAACTGCCATCAGTAAACCATTCTCCCTCAGGATTGTCAATGTCTTGATCTGTCGTATCAGGCCTATAGGGATAAACCTGGTCAAGGTAGGAATGTATTACCTTTGGGATTTCAGCAGGCATCAGTGTAGTTGGGTTGAGGGTGTGGCAAGTTAATTTTATTGATGTAGAGTTGATTTACAATGTTGTTAGTTTCTGGTGTACAGCAAAGTGATTCAGTTATATGTATATACTTTTCCATCTTTTCCGTTATGGTTTATTACAAGATACTGAATAGTTTCTTGTGCTATACAGTACCCTGTTGTTTATCTATGCTATATATTAGTTTGCATCTAACCCCAAACTCCTAGTCCTTCCCTCCCCCAGGCCACCACAAGTCTTTTCTCTGAGCCTGTTTTTGTTTCACAGATGTTCCTTTGTGTAGTTTGGATTCCTCAAATTAATCATATGGTATGTCTAACTTACTTTGCTTAGTATTTCTAGGTCCATCCATGTTGCTGCAAATGGCATTATTTCATTCTTTTTAATGGCTGAGTAGTATTCCATTGTATACATCTACATCTTTATCCACTACTCTACTGGACATTTAGGTTGTTTCCACGTCTTGGCTGTTGCAAATAGTGCTGCAGTGAACACTGGGGTGCATGTATCTTTTCAAATTATAGTTTTGTCTGGGTATATGCCCAGGAGTGGGATTGCAGGATCCTATGGCAACTGTAGTTTTAGGAACCTCCATACTGTTTTCCATAGTGGCTGCACCAATTTACATTCCCACCAACAGTGTAAGAGGGTTCCGTTTTTCTCAGTGTTGGGAGTTTTGAGGGTTACCTCTGGGGAGTCAAGAAGTAAACCCTGGTACTTAGTACAGTGGCCTCCAGTTAGCCAGTGGTGGCCTTTGATCTCTAGAAACCTTTGTACTTGATGTTGGGGGGCGGGGGTCTGGACTTCCAGTGGCCGTCCAAGGTAAGCTCGTTAGCTTCTTCCACTGATAAACTGGTGGCAGCTGCTGGCCGAAAGCAGCCAGGCCAACCTCAGGGCACGCCATCTAGTTGTGTGGAAAAATAGCCTATTGGCCAAGGAACTTCTAGTTTCTTTTAGGTCGCCCAGAGCTTTTAGGGGGTTAGGACTTCTTACAAAATGAATGGCTTTTTTTTTTTTTTTTTGCGTTACGCGGGCCTCTCACTGTTGTGGCCTCTCCCGTTGCAGAGCACAGGCTCCGGATGCGCAGGCCCAGCGGCCACGGCTCACGGGCCCAGCCGCTCTGCGGCATAATGGGATCTTCCCAGACCGGGGCACGAACCCACGTCCCCTGCATCAGCAGGCAGACTCTCAACCACAGCGCCACCAGGGAAGCCCAATGAATGGCTTTTTAAAACTGAGGAGACCCAGAGCAGGAGCTTTAATGAGGACCTGTTTGATACTATTAAAAGCCTTTTCCTGTGTTCCTCAGCCCGAAGTAATGGTTCTGTATCTGGGCTTTTAATGGCTTCATACAGGAGCTTAGACATTAGCCCAAACCGTGGGATCCAGAGTCAGCAAAACCCTGCCTTTTTACCTTTGTAAAAAGGTACAAAGAAACGTCTTTGGGGCACTTAGGCCTAACATACTCGTTTTCTATCTTGCGACAGCTGTCTACTTCCAGGATTTATAATGTGTCCCATGTATTTAACTTGTATTGAGATTTGTGCCTTTTTCTGGGAGATCCTGTAACCCTGGACCTCAAGGAAATTAAGAACTTCAATGATGTTCTCACTTGAGCCTCCACGGTGGGGCTACATACTAATATATCATCTGCATGCTGTAGCATAGCCCCTTTTAGGCCTATTTCCCTTGGTTCCTTTCCTAGGGCCTGGGCAAACACTGTGAGCTGCCCCCAAACCCGTGGTAGGTAGTGTTGTCCAGGTGTATTGTTGCATCTGGCCCGAGTGGGGGTTAGTCCACTCGAAGGCAAACAAATATCGTGAGGGATGAACTGGGATGTAAAAGAAGGCATCCTTGAGGTCGAGCACAGTAAACCATTTAGCATTTACAAGGTCTTGGGCTAATATCTTTTAAGGATTGGCCACAAGGGGGAGTATAGGAACCACTGCCCTTTTTACTGCTGAGGTCTCGCACCACCCTACATCCCCCCATTAGGCTTAACTGACAAAATAGGAGTATTGCATTGAGACTGACAGGGAACCAAGAGGCCATATTTTAAAAATTTATGTATGAGAGGTTGTAACCCCTTTTTTGCCTAACCTAATGGGGTACTAGTCTCTGGTTAGGGTAAGCAGCTTCTGGTTTAAGGCTAGTTTCTGCAGGTTGGGCATTTATAGCCGTCCCAGGGACTCCTTTGTCCAGTTTGCTGCAAGGTTCACTGCTTGTAGAATATCGCTGGGAACAAGCCCTTGCTCCTGTGTTGATCTGCCTTAGCCAGGGTTAAGATAAGGGGCTGCTCTGCTCGGGGCCTTCTAACAGTATCGCCTTAAGGGAGCCCAGAAGATCTCTCCCTAGTAGTGGGGTAGGATACTCAACTAAAAAGGCATGTTCAAAATGGCCAGTGAGAGCCCCAGTGAAGTGAAGGGTACGAGGCTTTCCATTGACACCAGTCACTGCAGCTTTTAGAGGAACGAGGCCCAGCGTGAGAAATCAGGGCAGAGCAAGTGGCTTCTGTATCAATTTAAAAAATTGATCTTACCTGCCACCAGGGGCTCCTCAAAGGAATAGACATCTTGTGGGGGCGGGGGGAGCCGCCAGAATCCCTGGGCTGCTTCAGTTATCCAGCATGGCCATCTCAGGAGCAGGAGCCCCCATTCCCCTTGGGGACCAAGGGCAGTCCCATCTCCAATGACTGGTCTGTTTGCAGACTGGGCAAGGCCCGGGAGCTTCTTCTGGTACTCATGGGCCCAATGGTCAGGTGACTTGCATTTGAAGCATTCCCCCTTGGTCTCGCCTCCGGACTGATGGTTGAACCTTCTTGCCCCCTTTGGGTTGCCCTGAGGTTGCAAGGCACGGCTGACACCAACAGCTATCAGTTTAGCGTGAGCCTCGGCGTGCCTTTTTTCATGTTGAGTTCTATCCTCTTCCTCAGTTTGATCTCCATTATAAAATATTCCAAAGGCCACCTCTAGGAGTTTGTGGGCCTAACTAACTTTTGGAGTTTTTGCCTAATATCAGGGGCAGCAGGGACTGAACCTTGGGAGCAGAGAGATCTGTTAGCAAATTTTCTAAAAAGCCTCCACAAGCTGTCCCTGAAAGAGAACAGGGCTTTCTTCTTCCTCTTGGGTCACTTCCTTGACCTTTTCATAATTGACTGGCTTCCAAATGCACTTTCTCGTTCCTTCTAATAGGCACTGGACCTTGTGATTCCTGGCCTTCCCCCCCCCGCCCCCGGCAATTACAATCCCAAATGGGCTTATATGATTTGGGACATAAATGTTGGGCTGGTCCCTGGCAAACTGGTCGGCGTACACCTGTGCTGCTGCCCATATCCTCTGCTTCTCCTCATGGGTACAGCAGGTAGGTAAGATCATTTGGACGTCCTTCCAAGTTAAATCAAGGGCCAGGGTTAGGGCCTGAAATCCCCCGTGAACCTACTAGGGTCTTCAGAAAATTGGCCCAGTCTTTGTTTGCATTGGGCTAAATCGGTTAAAAAGAAGGGCTCATGTACTCTTGATTGTGCCTTTGCCACTTCCCTAAGTGGGCATATTTTCCCTGATCCTGGGTGATAGGAAGTTCCACTATGGCTTACTCCAGCAGGATCAGCATTTTCAACCTGGGGTATCATTGGGTACAGAAGGGCATAGGGGAGAAGGGTTTGGGATTGGCCAAGGGAATCCGGAGAAGTACAGGTACTTGTAGAGTAGAAAAGGCTCTGTTTCCCCCTTAAGAGTTGGAATGTAGTTAAGAGAAGATTGTCTAGAATAACGGGAGGGTTCTCTGATTCCCCAGGTCTCTGATTACATGGAGCTGCATAGAGTGGGATTACTGGAGTTGGGCGCACTGGAAGGTGGCACGAGAGCAAAGGAGTGTCAGTAGATGGTGAGATAGGAGACTAGGCAACAGAAGAGTCCAAAATCATTCACCCTGCTTTCTTGGTAACAGAAATAAAACCTTAATAGTCCTGTGAATTCTACCCGACATAGCACTGGATTTGGCAATGTTGCGGGAGCAGTTTAGGAATGAGGTTCAAGAAATCCTTTCCCCAAATGGTGCAAAATCCCAGCTTCCCGCCAAAGAGGGAAGCCTTAGAAAACAAAAAAGGCAGAGAGAGGGAGAAGCCAGAGGTCTCCACGCGCAGCTGGGCAAGGCCCGTGATCTACCTTGAATCCACGGATCCGAGTCAGGGCACCAAGGCCCCTAGACTGATGCTGATTTACCTCAAGGTCTCCAGCCGGATCACCGACAGTCCTGAAAGTCAGAAACCGCCCAAATGCAGACAGATGCCCAATCCTGCCATTTCCGGCAAGACCTGTTTTCACCCCCCAGGCCCTTCCATCAAGGAGGCGCACCCTAAAGCCTCAGTCTTGCAAAATAATCAGACTGCGCGTGCAGTTTTCATACGAGGTGTCAGAAATTAAAGCAATTCATCACAGGCTCGGAACCGAATTTGGGAAACCAGGCCCAGCCCAGCCTTACCTATACAGAGAAACAGATCTGGAGATTCCGACTTCCCGACGGAACTGGGGGGAGGGTGAAGCAGAAACGTGTAGAACGCTGAGGACCAAGATGGGTCTCAGGCGGAGGCTGGACCCGGGGTCTAGGTTGGCTGGCAGGTTTGGGCCACTTCCCCCACCCGCTCTGGGCCCGGTTCCTCCCTTGACCGTGACCTACGGAAAAACTAATAGCAAACCTCACGACGTCGTACTTTATCGGAAAGAACGCAGGAGTCTGGGGCTCAAGCTTTTATAGAAACTGCTCCACCTCTGCGATTGGGCAATACCAGCAGAAGTATCTTCCTTCTTCACCGCTGATACGCTCCTTTCGCTACTCTCCAAGTCTCCACCAATCGAGCCTTGACATTTCTTTTGGGGGCGGTCTGCCTGACCCGACACCCGAAGCTCCACCCTTTTGCAGAGGCCATTGAACTTAACTGTGAGCGACGGATACATATAGCCAATCAGAGTCCGATCTGCAACATAGAGTGATTCTGAAGCCACCAATCCCGCCCCGCAACATCTGAGCCGCCGGAAGTCGTAGTTTCTGAAGAGCCTCTAGTAAGGCGGCCGCCTGGGGCCCCGAGAGCCAGGGAACTGCAAATCCCGGCGGGCACAGCGCCTGAGCGCTTCCGGCTCGAACGTCCTGTCCCTTTCCCGGCCAGCGGTAGAGGGGGCACGATGAAGCGGGAGGGTGGCGCTGCGATTCCCGAGCGGCCACGGGCGGGTGAGTGTCCTAGCGGCGTGCCGGGCCTGGGGCTCGCGCCTTGGGCCCGCGCCTTGGGCCCGCGCGGTGGGGCGGAGGGCCGGCGTGTTGGTGTCTGGGGAATGGGTCGGGCCTGGGGGGCGGGGCTGAGACGCTCCGGGGTCTCCCCGGTCAGTCCGTCTGTCTGTCAGCTGGTCCGTCACTCATTCCCTTTCTCCATTCTCTCCTTTATTCATTCCTTCTTCCTGCGTTTACTGATCGCCGCCGGGTGCCCAGCACTGTCGTAGGCGCGGGGAGACTGCGGAGAGCATGATCCCAGTTCTCCTAGGCTCTTCTCGTTCAGGGTTTGTCACAACCTCGCCACTCTTGATACTTCGTGCCCATCATTCCCTGCTGTGCCTTGTAGGGTGTTGAGCAGTATCCCTGGTGTCCACCCACTGGATACCACTAACCTCCCCCACCCCCGAGGTGACAACCAAAAATGTCTCCAGACATTTACAAGCATACCCGCTTTGAGAACGGGTGATCTAGAGAGGGGTGCGGGATTGACAATGCACAGACACAGTCGTGAGGATTTGTGATAGGTGCCATGAAAAAAAGAAGCAAGGTGTTGAGAAAGAGAGTACCAGGGGCTCCTGAATGGCTTGGGGAGGGGGCATCTACAGTGAGCATCCCGTCCTGGAAAGTTGCTGGAAGAGCTTTTTGGGCAGAGGTAGCAAGATGTGCAAAGGCCCAGGGTGAGGAAGCTCAGCAGACACCCGCGGGTACTGGCAACGTCATGAGAGGTGAATTGGTGAAGACACACCAGAGTGCAGGATGGGGATTGTATTGTGCTTACAAGGGAGGCTGTTGGAGGACTCAAGCACAGAAGAGAGGGCATCAGGTCTAAGTCTAATAAAGAGCCTCTGGTTGTGAGTGGAGAATGGACTGCTAGCTTCAGTGGGGAAGTAGGAGAGAGTGAGGAGGCTGGCTTGCGTGCAGAGGAGAGTGGGTTGGGGCCCTCCTCTCCTAGTTCTCACTGGGTCTGGCTGCCCGGGCCTGGTTGTCTTGAGCCAGGTCAGGGTGGTCAGCTGCGGATGAGTCTGGGGTCCTGCTGGATGGCACCCTGCTCTAGTGGGGAGGGGTTCCACCCTACTTTGCTGTGTCCCTTGCTTAGAGCTCTATGCTGCCCAGCCTGTCAGCACACCCTTCTCCCATCCCTCAGACCCCTCCCCCCCCACAGGCCCCCTCTCCTGGGACCTGCCCACCCCCTGGCCTTTGCCAACTATGTGGCCTCTCTCTTCCTCATTCCTGCTCTGCGGATTCAATTTTCTCCATGGAAACCCCAGGCCCTGTGTCTCAAGGTGCCTGCATCCTATAGCAGTACTATCTCCAGGAAGCCAAAACCTCCCTCAGGGGGAGAGCAGGGAAAAGGGCAGTCTGGCTGAAAGAGACAGGCTGGGAAGGAGCGTAGGGCCTGGCCTGCAGTGGATGTGAACCTTAGCCAGTTGGCTGGACAAAGGAATGGACAGTTTGGGAAATGGAAGAAGATGCAGTTGAAGGGCCTGAGCCACTTGGGAGGCTTCGGCAGCCCAGACACGGTGATTTGGCCGCTAGCTGGCATGGCTTGGGGAGGGGCTGGCTTACATGCAAGGTGGAGCTCCTCAGCTTGCCCGCGGCAACAGAGGAAGCAGAAGGAACAGGGCTTTGGTCAGCCTTGGTCATGGCCCCTCGCTGGCTGTCTGTGCCTGGGGTGGCCTCTCAGCTTCCATTTTCAGTTTTCAGGGAGGAACTGATGTCAGTGGAGCCTTCACTGTTAACTCACATGGCATCTCGCACAGTTCCTTCCAGACGTGGGTACATCCACTCCATTTAATAGGTGAGAAATCCGAGGACCTGGCAGGCAAGTAACTTGCCCAGAGTCGCACACCTGTTAAGTGGCAGAAGCAGAATTTGAACTCAGGTCTGAGTCTGGCACTTGTGGGTAGGCACCTAGGACTTCAGACCTCTGGCTCAGACCCATGAAGATGGACCCACCAACCCCTCTCAACAGATGCCTTCAGTGTCCGCTGTGCACTGGCTGTGGGGCAGAAGAGGTATGGATGCTCCCCAGAGGAGCATGGAGTCAGGTGGGGCAGGCGAAGCAGGAGGTGGGCATTGGGGTAGTGCTGACGTCACTGTGCATACCTGGCCCTTGGCCGCCCTAAGCAGGAGGAGGCGGGCTGTCTGGAAGCCTTTTGGAGGGGTGAACAATCCCAAGAGCACCTAGGGAGGGCACCCAGCGGGGAAGGAGCAGCCCAGCAGACACCAGGACTGGAGGAATGTGCCAGAGGGCTGGATGACGAGGGCTAGACAGAGGAGTGGGCTGGGCCAGACCTCTGCCCTCCACGCTCCCGGTCACCTCCAGACCCAGATCTGGCCCAGGGACTGCGTGCCCTTCCTGACTTCTACAGGGGAGCAAGAAGGAGGAAGCCCAGGAGACAGAAGCCATGCAGGGAGCGATGAGAAAACGGCCAAGGGAGCCTGGAGGTGCAGACTGGGCCCAGGCACTGCTGGCCACTTGGCTCTTGGGTGAAGGCCCAGGGCCTGTTTCCATGAGTTTAGACCCACTAATTTAGGGACATGCTTTCCAGTTCCGCCCCTGCAGTCGAAGCTAGGCTGAGCACTGAAGTGGAGGGAAGGTGTGGACAGGAAAAAGTGGCCCTGCAGCCGGACACTGAGATAGGGGGATGAATGCCACCTCTTCTCAGAACATTCTCTTCCTGCTCTGGATCTGGCCAACTCCTTCCTCCAGGAAGCCCTCTGCATGTCCCCCAGGCTGGGCCAGGTTCCCACCTCATACATGGCCATCAGATGTGGGAAATAAAGGATGGGGAGATGAGGCTGGCCCCAAGGACACTGGGGAAGGGAAGGCATTCCCATTGCCAAGTGGGGGTTAAGGCCAGGCCACAGAGCAGGAGAGACTCCCTCCCTCTAGCACAGGGGCCCGGGGAGGCTGGAGAGGCTGGACCTGGACAGGAAAGGCCAGGAGGCTGGGTGGAGGGTGTGAGGGGGCAGAGCCCTTGGGAGGGGAGGTCACAGCAGGTGTCTAGGCAGGCAGCTTTGAAACCTCTGGGGAGTCCAGGCTGTGAATACGGAGGGAAGGATGGCAAGGTGAGGGCAAAGGTCTGGGCTGAGTGCTGGGAGGGAAGGGAGGCCGGGCAGACCTCAGATCAGGGCCTGATGAGGGGCTTCCCAACATCACACCCTTCCTGTTTGGGATGGAAAAGTCATATGAAGGGGACTCCAGGAAACAGCCAGGGGAAGTGTGTGTGGCTTTGCTATGGCAACCGGGCCTGTGTCTATAGGATTTGTCAACCTGGCCTGGGCTTGGGCCTGGGGACCTGGGGGACCAGGGAAGGGCTTACTGGGGGGCTGTGCAGTCTGCAGGTGATGCCAGGGGCTGCACCTGGAGCTCCGGCCACAGTCCAGCCAGCTGGCCACCCACGGCTCCGTGGCAGGAAGGGCCGCAGATTCCCGAGCCACCCACGCTCCTCCCTGGGGCAGTCGGTGCCAAACGTGTGGCCTGACGACATTTATAGGGCAGTCCACCCCCTCGCTGGCTCAGCATGTGCTGTTCAGGGAACCCCACCACATCTGCTGCCTAGGGCTATCAGAGGAGCTGCCTTGAGGTGGGGCTCGGCCTCATCTGGCCACCCCACTGCCCCCAGCTCTGGCATGGCCAGCCTAGGCCACCCCTCCACTGGCTGCCAGCCACGGGACCATGCCTAACCCACACCCACTCTGGGTACTTACTAAGGGAAAGGGGGGTCATGTCCCACAGTCCTGAGGGTGAGGCCCCAGAAGATCCCTTTGGGCTCCCTCCAGGGGACAGGCTGAGGAGGGGCCCCAATGGAGCTGGCCTGCCCTCCTGCGCAGGCTGCTCAGAGAAGGGGGCTGGTGAGGGGCTTTCCTGAAGAGGGGCTGTGGTGGAGAAGTGCAGGGGCTGGGGCGTTCTGGGCAGATCGCTGGTTCCTCATTGGGCGGTGAGTGCACTGCAGGCCCCAGGAGCCCCTTAGACATGGATGTGGGTGGACAAAGACCCCTGGGTCTTGACCCCTGGCTCAGGCGGGCTGCTCCTGCACGGACCCGAAGCATCCGTTGGTCCCACGCTCCCATCAGCCTCATCCAAGGTGGACAGCCCCATTTCCGTCAGGACTTGGGGGCTTTTCTCTTTCTGGGATAGAATCCCTGAGTCCCTCCCCTGGGCTTTGCTGAGGCACCTGGGAACAGGAGGTGTGGGGACTTGGCAGGGAGTGGGGAAGGACTGAGGGGAAGCCCTTTCTCGCCCTCCCCAACCCCAGGTCTCCCTAGTTGGCCCATCCCACACGGCTTTTCCCAGTTTGAGAGAGGCCAGGCTCTGGGTTGGCTGAGGATTCTTGCTCTAGTTGACAACTTCCTGCCTGCCTAAGAGCCTCAGGCTGACTGTGGGGTGGGGAAGAGGCCTCCTCCTCTGGGGGGCCAGGGCACAACACCAGGACGGCTGGGCCCAGCCTCCCTGTAGCCCCAACCAGGGGAGTGCTGCGTGTGCTGTTGTGTTTCTGGGGTTTTGGCCTCCAGAGCCAAAGGATACTGGGGAAGACTATTATTGCAAAATGCAGCCCCCAGGGACCGGCCTGAGGGCAGGCCGAGGGCATCTTGCTCAATTCTGAGATGCTCTGGATGCAATCTCTGGTTCTGGTTCCGGGTGGGCGGGGCGAGCAAGGTCTTCCCCCCACCCCCCTGTCCAGGGCTGGGGCTGCACACTGAACCCTGTGAACCGGGAAATGGTTCCCTCCCTCCTTCCCTCACTCAGCTTGGTTCACGGGCCGGTCTTGTACATCCCCTACCGGGCCTGACCGCTATTGGCTGTCTGCGGACTTTCCGGCCTGATTTGCATGTTGCCCTGCAGGCCCTGCGTGCCTTTCTGTTTACTTCACTTCAGAGTGCAGGACAGCCAGACGCCAGCTCTCCCAGGCTGCAGCAACAGGCACTTGGGCACCCGGCACCGAAGGGGGTCAGGCAGCGGGCTGGCTGAGGTCCTGGGGGAGCGCCTGCTGTGGTCCTGGCCACCCGGACCGTCCGTGGGTGCCACTTGCTGGAGCCAGCAGCTGGCTTCTTGGCCCTGGGAGCTTGCACTGGAAGGAGCAGATGGATTGTAAAATCCAGGTCAGTGTCAGCCAGTGGCCTCCCTGTGACACCCCCCACTTCCGCCCCCGTGGTGCTAAGGCTGGAGCCAACCCTGGGTTTCCCCAAAGGACGGAGCTTTTCATGCTGATGCGAGGAATCTTGGAGCTCCTACTCTCCATTGTCTGGGCCTCACCGCAGCCAGAGTGTCCTTACCCCAAGCAGGGCAGCCCCCAAGACTTCCTGCTTAGCATGCAGACTCGCAGCGGGGCTGGAGGTGGGCTTCTGGACAAGCCCCTTTCACCCCTCTGCCTGAGGGCCTGGCGCTGCCCACTCTCAGGAGCCCCCGTCTCTCCCCTGAGAGGACAAGCCACCAGAGAGCCTGGGCTGGGGCAGGCAGCCAAGCCCCTTGAGTCACAGCAGGGAGAGTGGTGGGCAGGACAGGGGGGCTTTGGCCAAGCTCTCAGGACCCCCTATATAGCCAGACCCACAGGGGCTCAGAGCCCTGCGGGGGAGGTGCCTCATGGCAGTGCCAATTGCAGGGGCCAAGAGCCACCCTGTCAATGCCTGAGTCTCAAAGTTTGGGGGGGTGGCGTGCAGGTGGCATTTGAAGGGGTGGGCAGCTTGGGAGCACAGTGCAGAGGGCCGGGTATGCTTGAGAGCCCACCCCCCCCTGCAGACCTGCAGGCCGGGTTGGGGGACAATTGGGTGGGCCCCAGGTCACACTGCTTGGCCGTGGGGGGGTGGGGCGTGGACGTCACTAGATGGTCCAGGTCAGGAGGACCTGGTGTGGAAGGTGCCAGAACCAGCTGGACTGTACAGTTGCTCTCTGCTGGACTCACAGTAGGGGGCAGAGAGCATCTCCCGCCTTCTCCCACAGTGTGGGGGGCTTAGCAGCCCTTCCCCCCTGGAGCCTCACAGTCCTGCAGGACTCCAGACCACAGAGTGGGCCCCTGCCTGCCACGCGGCCCCAGGAGCAAGATGAGCCTGACCTCCTAGAGCAGTTCCTGATGCTGGTCTGATGGCTGGGCCGGGCACCAGGCAATGAGCCCACAGTCCCGGGGATGCTGCTGGGGGTCTCCTGAGGTGGAGAGCTCAAGTGGGCCTGTTGACAGCAGTCCTGAGCGTCTGGCCTTCCTCCCCGTGGGGAGCTTGGCTTCAAGCCGGCGGCCTCGTGGCTCTCAACACAGCCGACCTTGCAGGGGGAGACTGTGCTCCTGGCTAGACTGTTGAGGGTCCTGACATGGGGAAGACCGCTTCCAGGGGGTGCCTGCTGATAGGGCCACCACAGGGTGGGCGCTGTCTCAGGAATGGAGCAGCTCTCCCTGGGGTCCCATCCTAGTGTGAGCTGCTGACTGGGTCTCCTTTTCTTTCTAATCTCTTCCTACTCTGTGGGTACACCTGGGCCTGGCCAGTTCTCTCACGGCCCATCTAGCCCCTCTCTTCTTGTATGGGAGTCACCAGAGACCTGGGATGATTCCCACTGTGCCTTCTCCCTGCCACCCCAGCCCTTGAGACTGGGTCACACTGGGGCACCCTTTGTTCCTGGAGTGGGTGACCTGAACAAGGTCAAGAGTCGGAGTTCTTTGCTCCTCCCCCACCCGAAGGGGCTTTCTGCATGTGATGAGGCTGGTGAGGGGCTGGGCTCCAAGTACGTCACCCACAGGTTCTCTGCGGGCACAGCCAGCATCCCCGACATCCTGCAGACCGGGTGGCTTCGGCCTGACCACACCTGCCCTGGCAGGAAACAGGCCTGTGGCTTTGTCCTGCTGTGTATACCCAGCCTTGGCCCCAGGGACATTCAGACCTCGGACCCAGAGGAGCAGACAGAGCAGGGGTGAGGGGCTCTCCAGCTCTGGGGTGGAGCCGGTGGGCTTTTCCAAAGGGCTAAGCCTTAAAGCAAGGTAGAACGGAGTGTCAGCTGCCTGCTTGAACCCAGGGTCTCCTCCTTTTCTCTGGCCTGTGCACACCTGGGACGGGAGGGAGGGGAAGGGACTTTGCCCGCATGGACCTGCCCTTGTTGGGATTGGTGGTGGAGAGAGACTGAAGCGTGCCTTGTGGTGGACTGGCCAGAGGGGGCCTGCCTGTGTGGAGCGGCCCCACCAACCGACAGGGGCTTGGCCACCATCTCCAAAGCCCTTCATTTGTGCTCCACCCATAGGGGATGCTGCCCGAGGACCTTAGATGCCTCTCTAGAGCATGAGCTCGGGCAAGAGCGCCCGCTACAACCGCTTCTCCGGGGGGCCTAGCAACCTTCCTACCCCAGACGCCGCCACCGGGGTAAGGGGGACACCCTCGGGGAATGGTCTGCCTCTGTGCACACCCCACATACCCAGGGCCCCAGAAGAGCTACCAGAGCAGTCCTCTCCCTACCTGGAGGTCCCTCGGGTGGGCCATGCCATGTGTGTGGTTGGCATGTCTGAGTATATGCACGCATGTGGACTCGTTAGTGGGAAAGCATGTCAGCTCATGTCCACGTGTGTGTCCACATCCTCGCTGGGGTCAAGGCCAAGTCTCATCTGTTCTCTCTCCAGACCAGAATGGAAACGACCTTCGGGCCCGCCTTTTCGGCTGTCACCACCATCACAAAAGGTGAGCCTGTGAGCCCAGGCCAACCTGGGCTGGGCAGGAGTCCCCCATCCTGCTCCCTCCTGTTCCACTGCCACATCCTCCTCCCACACCCCCACATCCTCCTGCACCTGCGTCCCGGGGCCTCGCCTGCCACCTCTCTGGGGTGGGCCGCCCGACTTCTCCAGCACCACTTTGCACACCTGTCCTTTATCAAGCGACCCCTGACTCGTCCCACCCAGGCTTCTAGCAGGCCCTGAAAGGTCAGGACGGGGGACCAGGCTGGGCATGGGGAGGTGATAAGAAGTACTCATGGGGTCCTTTCCCGAGTCTGGTCCCATGGTTGAGCCCTCAGCACTGTGTGTTCTGGGAGGTGGTGAGGAACTAGACCACGAGGGCACAACCTCCTTCCTGAAGACATGAGGGCATGGGGCCCCTCCTATCAGGACCGGTGCTTCTGGGGAGCAGTGTGTGTTCTTTTGCCTTTTCAGGACTACCCCTCGTAGGAGAACACCAGCTGCTAATTAGTTTTTTAATTGCTTTTCCACGGTATCTTCTGGATACACTTTTCGGTGGGGTCACCAGGCTGCCATGGACATCTGCTCACACAGGCTCCTTTTTACCGCTGGGTGACCCCCTCGGGGGCTGTGAAAGAGCCCTCCTTTTTTCTTAGATGTTCTTTTCTGAAGAAAAAGCAAATATACATACCCCTTAATCGCATCACCCGAGTAATTGTTCTTTAATTTCTTATCCAGCTTTAGAAACCATGTAGCACCCTGTCGTGGCAGTCAAAAGCTCCCGGGCAGAGAGTAACGGGGGCCTGTCTCGCCCGTGGCCAACCCAGCGACTCCCTCAGTGTCAGGGATGGTCAGAGCCAGTGACCAGGCACGAACAGTTGCCTCACCCAGCCCCTCTCATTACAGACAGAGAAACTGAGGCCCAGTCACAGGGCAGCCATGTGAAGCCTGGATCATGAACCAGGCCTTTGGGGCTGGTTGTTGTGACATCTGGCCCTGGCTGGGGCCTGAGACCAGTGTTGGCCACTGTAGGCCTCTGGCTGCTGCCTTCAGGGCCTGTGAGGCTGGCTCCTATTCCCGCGTGGACCCCTGACCAGTGCCTTCTCTGGGCAGCTGGGGTGACGTGCAGGAGGAGGAGGGCCATGCCTTAAGCAGCCTTCCTGTAGGAGTCCAAGAGGGCCTGTGGCTGGTTCCTGATTCTGGCCGCACCAGGGGAAGAGGTGGGCGGAGAGGGGACCTAGACCACCAGGCTGCCATCCTGGCCCCACCATGTACCAGCTGAGGGGCCTCGGACCTCTCTGCCTGTGGGTGGCAGGGCTGGGGCTGGGAGCTTCTGGACTCAGCTCTGGGACTGTCCAGGGCAGGCTGAGCCCTGCAGGTGAGCTGCAGGCACTGGTTAGACCTGGGGAGGCGACCACAACCCCCAGCCCAGCCTCCGCCCCTGCCTGGCCCATCTGCGAAGGAGCCCGCTGCCTGCCACGGTGGTCAGGCCTCCCCACACGGCCCCGCTCGCGGCATCTCAGCCCTGTTTTCTTCGCAGCTGATGGGACCAGCACATACAAACAGCACCGCAGGACGCCCTCTTCCTCCAGCTCCCTCGCCTACTCCCCACGGGACGAGGAGGACAGCATGGTAGGTCTGCACCTCGCTCCCCCCTCCCCACCCCTCCAGAGCCTGCCTCCCACCATGCCCTCCCTCCAGGCGCCCAGGGCCCAGGAGGAGCTGAAGGTGGAGCCTCAGCCGCGAGCTCAGGTCTGAGGGTGAAGCGAGCTGGTGTCAGAGGCCCAGCATGTGCGACACCCTGAGGCCTGAGCACACGTGGCTGGGTTTCCAGAGAGAGGCGCTGGTGAAGGTGGCTGAGCCAGAGGGTGTGGCGCCTGCAGGCTGAGAGGAGGCAAGTTTGGCTCCATCTTGTGGGGGTGGGAGCCACAGAAGGTTCATTCGGGAGGGTAACTAGATCAGATCCCCTTTTAAAAAATATTTATTTATTTATTTTGGCTGCGTTGGGTCTTCGTTGCTGCACATGGGCTTTAGTTGCAGCAAGTGGGGGCTACTCTTCTTTGCAGTGCGCAGGCTTCTCATTGCGGTGGCTTCTCTTGTTGCGGAGCACGGGCTCTAGGGCGTGCAGGCTTCAGTAGTTGTGGCTCACAGGCTCTAGAATACAGGCTCAGTAGTTGTGGCGCACAGGCTTAGTTGCTCCACGGCATGTGGGATCTTCCTGGACCAGGGCTCGAACCTGCGTCCCCTGCATTGGCAGGCAGATTCTTAACCACTGCACCACCAGGGAAAAAACCTCATTTTTAAAGCTTCATCTGTTGCTGAGCAGAGGATGAATGGGTGGGTTGCCGGGTAGAGGCAGAGGCCCCGAGTTTGGGGTTCCTGACGAGGGAGACGGGGTTCAGCAGGTGGGGAAAGATGGATAGGCCCAGGCTGGGGTCAGTGAGGAAGGGCTTTGGGTCAGAGTTGGAGCTGGCTGTCGGTACCCAGGCCGTGTGGCCAGGGTCACAGTGGCCATTCCCTGTTTGTCGGTCCTCGCCCGGCTCTGGGACTGCTGCGGGAAGCGAAGGCTGGCCTGGCTGGTGCGGGTGGGATGCGAGCAACCTCCCACTGCCACTCACCTCTCCTGTGCCTGCTTTCTGCTTTCCCTCAGAGCCCCCGACAGACCCCGGCCAGTGCTCCAGCCCTTCTAGCCTCCCAGCACCGAAGGCTTCTCCTCATGCTGGGCAGCCAGGCCTTTGTTTCCTATTTAATAGGGAGAAAAAAAGTATTTTTAATTATTCAAACAAACACGTTTGTGTGCCCAGCACTGCACTAGGCCCTCCCTAAACACAAGCTCCCCCTTCCCTTGGGCTCTGCCTGCCTCCGTCTCTGGGACCTGTGACCTGCCCATGGAGTGAGGCTGGGAACAGAAGGCTCACCTGCCCAGCTGGGCCTTGAAGGAAGTGAATTCCCCGTGCCTGTGGTTTCTGGAATCCTTGGGTTTTGGTGGCTCTAAGGAGGTAGGCGTGTGCTGTGAGGGCCCTGAGCTGCAGCCACCTGGGCACCATCTCTGTTGGATGTTCGGCCCCCACAGGCTGCCCCTCTGCTTGCCCTGGGGAGCCGGGCCTTCCCCCAGGCCCTGTACTTTAGGGCCAGCTACCCTGCCCCCAGCCCAGGCCTGGCAGCCACAGCCCCTTCACTCAGGAGGAGTGGGAGCCCAGCAAGGGGCAGGCGGGCAGCGGGGCAGGGGGCTAGGGGGGCAGGGGAGAACAGAGCCAGGCCGGGCCCCGTATGCTTAGCCCAGCTCCTGCCTGGACCTGCTCTCACCCTCTGGTTTCCATCGCTGCCCTGGGGATAATTTGACTCACTTCTTCTGATTTCCCCTCTTGTTCCTCATGTGGCATTTCCATGCAAACATGCCACTTGAGATGCTGTGACGGGAGGTGGGTGCTGCCCTGGTGAGGGAGGTCCCTGTCCGCGGGCATGCTGGGGACACTGATCTCTGCTGCACCCGCTCGGGGAAGCCGGCCCCTGGAACTGCCCAGCCAGCCTCCCTCTGCCCGCTGTGGGTCCCACACCCCGGGCTGGCGGGGAGGGGATCATTCCAACAGTCCCCACACCCACAGAGGCTCAGACAGAGGCAGCCAGGTCCCAGAGTGGCTGGGACCTAGAGGGGGCAGGTGGGCTGGGCGTGGAGGCAGGAGGTTTATGGCTCATGAATGAAGCTTTGGGGCAGGAGGGGAAGAGCGTGGGGAGCGATTGCTCTTGGAGTATCTCTTCTGGAGGGTTCCAGGCCCAGAGGGGAGGAAGGGACAGTACCCCTTGCCCTGGCACTCCCCCAGATCCGTGTTTCTGGTGGCTCAGACAGAGACGAGCACCCGTGGCCCCCCCTCCTGCTCTCAGAAGCTTGGTTGGGGTTTGGTGGGGGTGTCCCCACCTTCCCTCAGGGAGCCTCACTGGCCTGGGCTAGTGTCCCCAACCAGGACGGCCAGGCGGGTGGCTGAGCCCAGCGGGCACCTGGAGCCCTGCAGCTTCCCGCGGCCAGCCTTCCACCCCCTTCCCTCCAGCAGCCTGGGGGCCGTGGCCACCCCCGCCCCGGGATTGGCTGGTGGAGGTGTCCCCTCTGCGGCCTACATTCCCTCACGGGAAGCAGGAAGCAGGCCGAGCGTGTCCTCGTAGAATTGAATAGCAGGAAGTCTCTCCATTTACACAAAGAAAGTTGGCAGATGTGAGCAGGCGTCCCAACCACAGGGCCGGGACTGCCAGGCAGGCGGGGCCCGGGCGTCACACCGGCTCCCCACGCACAGCCGGGCTGTGGGCTAAGTGGGCACCCACACTGGGACGGGGGTCTGAGCCCGGCCCTCCTGCCAGCTGACGGCCTCCTGTCTGCCCGCAGCCCCCCATCAGCACCCCACGCCGCTCTGACTCGGCCATCTCCGTCCGCTCCCTGCACTCGGAGTCCAGCATGTCCCTGCGCTCCACATTCTCGCTGCCCGAGGAGGAGGAGGAGCCGGTAGGTGTGGCCGGGCAGGCTCGGTGCAGACTCCAAGGGACCCTCCCCGTCCTGGGGCGGTGGGGACACCTTCCCCTCAGGCCCTGATCGGGGCCCCTGATCCGCACGGGTCCACGTCAGGGACTCGGGGGGCTGGGCTGGGTCCCCCAGGCACGTTCTTCTCACTCCCCACCCCAGGGGCTGCCCAGGCATCAGCTTTGGGAATGAAAGGCGGGTTCCACATGGGGCCCTTTCTAGTCTCTGTCCCAGGGAGAGGGTAGGTGTCATGGGGTGAGGGCATGGCTGGAGGGGTTCTTCCTGCTCAGGTCTGCTGGAGCTCAGGCCCAGCTGTAGGCTTCAGTGGACTCCTCCTCTCAGGACACATCCTGGCAGAGGTGCTTCCATCCCAATAGGGCAGCCCAGGCCCGCAGAGGAAGGGGCTGGGGCCCTGGGTGCCCGCACTCATGTCAGCAGTCCCAGGCCCCACCCTCACCCAGCCCTGCCTGTTCTAGGAGCCGCTGGTGTTTGCCGAGCAGCCCTCGGTGAAGCTCTGCTGCCAGCTCTGCTGCAGTGTGTTCAAGGACCCTGTGATCACCACGTGTGGGGTGAGGCTGCCCCTCCCCGACCTGTGCACCACCGTGAGGCCCCTTTCATGGGGAGCCTTGGCCTCGCTCACAGGCCTGGTCTGGCCGCCCAGCAGGTGCCCTTTGCAGTGGGCACGGGGTGGGGGCAGCTCTGCGGCCACACCCCAGTCTGCCCATTGTCTCCACAGCACACCTTCTGTCGAAGATGCGCCTTGAAGTCAGGTAGGGCCCTCTCAGCCTAGGCTCGGCCACCTTTATTCCCCAGCGGTGGGAGGTCCCTCCGGGGACGTCCGGCCTGGGCCCAGCACTGATGGAGACCCTGGCTGCACAGCCACTTCTCCCTAGTCCTCCTGCGGCAGTGGTTCCTGGGTGACTGCTCAGGCCAGGCTCGGGCCAGGCTCAAGACCTTGACGAGCACGGCAGCTCAGAGCCCGAGCACGGCAGCTCAGAGCCCGCCCCACGGCGGGTGTGGGTGGGCCTTCTGGGCACAGTGCCCACTCTCTCGGACGCTGCCCCTGCTGTCAAGGCTGCCGGCCTCACCGTCTCAGGCCTTAGCAGCTGGCCCAGGACTGGTCCTCTCCGTGCTCTGTCCTCAGCTCTCTTGGCCCTGCCCCAGACTCTCGGGTCAACTGAGAGGCCTCTGCCACCACCTGCTCACCCAGTGGTCATTCTTGGTGGCCCAGCCATGCACCCTTTCCTGTTACGGGCACCCCAGAGGGGAAGGTAGATGGGTGGATTAGGCCCCTGACAGAGGCTCAGCCCACCCAGCTGGGGGAGCGTGTTCCAGGCCTGCCGCCCACCAGGGAATGGTCTCCCCCAGAGCAGCCTGGCCACAGTGCCCAGGGCAGGGCTGCCAGGGGAGATGGTGGCTGGGTGGGCTGTGGGGTCAGCATGCCCTCCCCCCCAGAGAAGTGTCCCGTGGACAATGCCAAGCTGACGGTGGTGGTGAACAACATCGCAGTGGCTGAGCAGATTGGCGAGCTCTTCATCCACTGCAGGCACGGTTGTCGGGCAGTCGGGGGCGGGAAGCCCACTGTCTTTGAGGTGGACCCCCGAGGGTGTCCCTTCACCATCAAGCTCAGCGCCCGAAAGTAAGTGCCCCCCTCCATCCCCAGTCCCCACCCCCCAGGGGTACTGAGAACCAGTGCCCCTGGGGACTCAGCACCCCCCCACGTCCCACCTCCCCCAGGGACCACGAGGGCAGCTGTGACTACAGGCCTGTGCGGTGCCCCAACAACCCCAGCTGCCCGCCCCTTCTCAAGATGAACTTGGAGGCACATCTCAAGGAGTGCGAGCACATCAAGTGTCCCCACTCCAAGTACGGGTGAGTGGGCGGGGGTGGGCGCACGGGGCTGCCTCGGGGTGGGGGTGGGCAGACCTGAGGGGGCGAGTGGGCCTGGGCTGGCATTCATGGTCCCTCCTTCAGCAAACCTTGGTTGAGATCCACCTGTCTGCCAGGCTCTGGGGAGACGACCTTAGCGGGAACCACACCATCGTCTATGTAATTACAAACTGAGGTACAGGTGCTGAGGAGACCTGCGCACCATGGGAACACGGGGGACGGAGCGGTCAGGGAGCTGCGGGTGGTTGGGGAAGGCACGAGCTGAGAATGAATGCATGCGTGGGCACGAGCCGGGCAAAGACCTGGGTGAGGGCTTCCGGCAGCTGGCGGAGTTGAGAGCAGAGGGGAGGTGGGGGTGGGAGAAGAGGCAGCAGCTGGCTCTTTAGGGCAGAAGCTGGTGAGGTGGTGGAGGAGCCCTTGAAGAGCTCTGAGCAGGAGTGAAGTGACTGGATTGCTGGGTTGAAGCAGGGTGGGTAGGTGGGTTGGTGGGCATGCAGGTATGCAGAGGATGGTGGCCCATTGGGGCTGCAGTGGGCACAGAAGTGGGATTTGAGAGAGATTCTTGGGGTTGGGGAGGCAAAGGGAAGGGCCTAACTGGGCGGGCAGTTGAACAGGTGGGCAGGGCAGCTGTCCTGTCCCTCCAGGTGCACGTTCATTGGAAACCAGGACACGTATGAGACGCACTTGGAAACCTGCCGCTTCGAGGGCCTGAAGGAGTTCCTTCAGCAGACGGATGACCGCTTCCACGAGATGCATGTGGCACTGGCCCAGAAGGACCAGGAGATCGCCTTCCTGCGCTCCATGTTGGGCAAGCTCTCAGAGAAGATCGACCAGCTGGAGAAGAGCCTGGAGCTCAAGTTCGGTGAGAGCTTGGCCCAGAGGTGGCAGGGGTGCAGCCCCTCCTCCTGGTCCCTGACACCCTTCTTCTGGTCCCTGCTACACAGATGTCCTGGATGAAAACCAGAGCAAGCTCAGCGAGGACCTCATGGAGTTCCGGAGGGACGCGTCCATGTTGAATGTGAGCGGGCAGGGGCCTGATGCAGGGAGGTGGGGTGGGGTGGGGGACACAGGACCATCTCTCAGCTTGGGTCCCAGCAGGAGGCTTGTTCCCACTTATGATTAGGTGTCTGTGCTGGGAGGGCTGTTGCTGCATCTGCCCTGCCCTGGCAGAGCTCAGGCCTGGGGCCATGGAGGGCTGTGGAGCCCCGCCCACCCCACCCTCTGCTCTACTCTTGGCCTCGCAGGACGAGCTGTCCCACATCAATGCACGGCTGAACATGGGCATCCTAGGATGTGAGTATGGGCCCACTGCCGCTCCCGCCGCCATCCCCGAAGCCCCCTCCAGTTCCCCCATCACCAGTTCCCCCATCTCTCTGCAGCCTACGACCCACAGCAGATCTTCAAGTGCAAAGGAACTTTTGTGGGTCACCAGGGCCCTGTCTGGTGTCTCTGCGTCTACTCAATGGGGGACCTGCTCTTCAGCGGCTCCTCTGACAAGACCATCAAGGTGGGTAGGGTCCTGCCTAGGGGCTTGGCAGCCTGGTGGGGCAGGGGTGGGCATTGCACACCAGCCTCTGCCGGCTCCAGGCCTGCTCATGGATGGGGCTTTCTCCCCTCCCCCCATGCTCACGTCATTCCTGCCATGGTGCCCCCTGCCACTGGGCTGACCCTGCTGGGACCTGCCCTGATCCTGGTCTCTGCAGGTGTGGGACACGTGTACCACCTACAAGTGCCAGAAGACGCTGGAGGGCCATGATGGCATTGTGCTGGCACTCTGCATCCAGGGGTGAGTGCAGGCACACGTGTGTCCACAGACCACAGGGCCCATGTGGAGCCAGGGATGGGAGGTCCTGTGGACTGTGAGCTTGAGTCCGTGGCTGCACGTGTCCTAGAGTGGCTCTTGTCTGCTCCTCCTGGGAGACACCCTCGACCCTGAGCAGGGCTGAATCATGGGTGGCAGCATGTAGGCCTTCCACCTCTGAAGCCGTACATTCACAGAGCAGAGCCTTGGCCCTGGAGAGACTCAGGCAGCCAGAGGACAGAGGTGGGACCAGAGAGTGGAGGCAGGGCCTCAGCTACTGCTGGCCGACAGCCAGAGCCCGGGGCGCAGCACCACAGAGAAGCCTGCCTGGCCACCCCCTCACCCCTAGGGTGCCCCTTCTAGACCTTCCCTCCTGTCTTGTGTCATGAGGCTTCTTGTTGTGGGCGTGAGTGTGTGAGTGTGTGTGTATGAGAGAGAGATGCTGGCTCACAGGAAGCAACAGCTTGACTGCCAACAACACTAACAGGGGTAATTACCTCTCAGCTCAGCTGTCAGATGCTTGCCAGGCAGGCACGGGGCTGGGCCTCCACTTCCAAGGTCCCCTCGCTAAGGCAGGAAAACCAAGGCTGGGCTCAGCAGTGATCCTGGCAATGGCCCAGGCTGCTGGTTCCCAGTGGCCAGTGCTCCCCCAGCCTGGCCAGGGCATTGTCAGCGAGGGTACTGGCTTCTCGCACCCTGACACCTTGGCTTTGCTTCCCCAGGTGCAAGCTCTACAGCGGCTCAGCCGACTGCACCATCATCGTGAGTGGGGCCGGCGGGCGGGCCGGGACCCCCAGGCTCGCTGTGCCATTGGGGCCTGGGCTCGGCCAGGGCCTAAGGCTTCCCGTCCTCCCTCCCGCCAGGTTTGGGACATCCAGAACCTGCAGAAGGTGAACACGATCCGGGCCCACGACAACCCGGTGTGCACGCTGGTCTCCTCACACAACATGCTCTTCAGCGGCTCCCTGAAGGCCATCAAGGTCAGGCAAGGTGGTGTACATGTGTGCGGGGCGGCAGGGTGCCGGTGCCTGCCCCCCAGGCCTGCGCTCATGGCCACTCCCACAGGTGTGGGACATTGTGGGCACCGAGCTGAAGCTGAAGAAGGAGCTCACCGGCCTCAACCACTGGGTGCGGGCCCTGGTGGCTGCCCAGAGCTACCTGTACAGCGGCTCCTACCAGACAATCAAGGTGCGCCCTCCCTGTGCCGGCTCCATCTGCCCTGCCCCCGCGCTGCCAGCGTGGGGAGACCCTCACATGCACCCTGGGTGGTGGGCTGCTGAGAGGCCCAGGGGATGAGGCGCCTGGCCTGGGACCAAGTGACCCACACTTGCCCATAGATCTGGGACATCCGGACCCTCGACTGCATCCACGTCCTGCAGACATCTGGCGGCAGCGTCTATTCTATTGCCGTGACGAATCACCACATTGTCTGTGGCACCTACGAGAACCTCATCCATGTAAGAGTGGATGCCAAAGGGCAGGGTCTGACTCTGGGCCCCTGTCTTCCCCGTCTGTGTCTCTGACCTGCCTGTGCCACCCCCTCAGGTGTGGGACATTGAGTCTAAGGAGCAAGTGCGGACCCTGACAGGACACGTTGGCACTGTGTATGCCCTGGCGGTCATCTCGACGCCAGACCAGACCAAAGTCTTCAGCGCATCCTATGACCGGTCTCTCAGGGTGCGAGCTGGCCTACCGACAGTGGGAGGCTCAGGGTGGGTGCCAGGCCTGGGCGGTCCTCATGTCCCATGTGCCCCCAGGTGTGGAGTATGGACAACATGATCTGCACGCAGACTCTGCTGCGTCACCAGGGCAGTGTGACTGCACTGGCAGTGTCCCGGGGCCGGCTCTTCTCAGGAGCCGTGGACAGCACCGTGAAGGTCAGTGCCTTGGCTCAGGCCATCCAAAGGGGCTGCATGGGGGGAGCGGGGGCGGGGGAGTTGGGATCTAGCGGCCCTGGGCAGGGGGCAGTGAAGGCAGGTATGGACGGCAGCTGGCTCTGGGGCTGGATGGCCAAAGGGGCACCTGAAACAGAGCCTTTCCCCTGCAGGTATGGACTTGCTAACAGAATCCAGGCCAGGTCTTGGCTTCCTCTGGGCCTGACCTAGGCCTGTCAAAGTCCGGCGAGCCACATGACTGGTCTTGGGGTCTCTGCCTGCCCCATGGGAACAGGCAGGCAGACTCAGCCAGGCAGACAATGCCCTCCCTGCCCTGCGCCCAGTGAGCCTCTCTCTGCTTGGCCTTGTCATCGTCACTGCCAGGACAGTGCCCAGACCGTCTGGGTGCCAGGTACGACGCTCACCAGGCCCACCCTCCATCCCCACTCCAGATGGACTGTGGGCCTTTTTACTCACCTTTTCTACTGTTTTTAGACTGTATATAAATTTGATTACTTCCTGATTGAAATAAAAGCTGCACAGACTGTGGCTTTGAGTGGGGATGGTCCTCAGGGGGAGGAAGAGGCCACCTGAGGACACTGGGGAGCACAGGCACCAGCAGCCAGTGTGAGAGAAGCTGGGGTGGGAAGCTGGGCAGGGACCACAGGAGGCTCCTGTTGATATCCCCAGGATGTACACTCTTGGTGACTTCTCCTCCCTGTCGGGAACAGGCTAGCCCCCCACTTGCCCCAATGTACATACCCCAAAAAAGTGAGCCAGGCAGCTCCATATTCTGCTGTTTATTGACAGCTGACAGTAGCTCCCTGCCCGGACCCCCCTCCCCACCTGCTGGCCCTGGCCTGGGCCACCCACTGAGGAGAGACCAAGTAGCTGGCCAGGCCCACCCACCCGGGGACGTGCCAGCACATGACCACTGGAAGGGGCCCCACACACCCAGGCACCACCTTGGCAGACCCCCTCAGCCCACCTGAATCACAATCGCTGGTTTTCGGCGCTTTTTAATTCTCTTTTTTGTTAAGAAATGTCAAAGTTGTGCCCAACACGTGGATCAGCAGACACGATAGAGGAGGCCAGTCAGTAGTTTTTGGAGTGGGGAGATGGAGGAAGAAGGCGAGAACGACCACACAACACGGCCTCAGACCATGAGCAGAGCGTCTGTGGGAACTGGAGCGGGGGTGGGCTGGCTGCGTGGGGCCAGCTCAGGGCCCCAAGGAGGGAGGGTTGGGCACACCCTCACACGCACCACACGCAGCCTGGCATGCATGCCCTGCACCCACTGCTGTCACCCAACTGACGCGCCCACGTTCACCACGCTGTGCACACAGCTCCCCTGAAGCCCAGATGCACCCTAACACCAGCACCCATGGGAGAGGCAGAGCCCTCCCCACTGTCTCCACGGCGTGGATGACACAGCCCAGCAGCGAGCAAGGCACATCCTTCAAGTTCTTCAGATGCAGAGAAGTTAGGAGAGAGAGCAGAGGGAAGGCCCTGGCGGAGCACAGACCCCTCCCCCAGACCCCAGCCTCCCGTTGGTGCTACTGGGCCCAGGGGTCTGGCCACTCCTGGACAGAGGGAGGGAAGGATACACAGACAGATGGCCGGGGCCTCTAACAGCTTTTGTCTTGAGCTGGACTCCAGCGTCCTTGCAGTTGGTAAATGGTTTTCTATAGAATCAATAATATTTCTTCTTTCTTTAAATATATATTTGTTAAAGTTATACCTTTTTGTTTCTCTGGGGAAATCTGCCTCAGCTTATTCCCAATAAATTAATACTCTTCAATAGCTTATATTTAGGGAGGGGGGTGCAGTGGGGCAGAGGGCCCAACCCCAGCCCCTTGTGCTGCGTTGGAGTGGCTGGCAGAGGTCCCCAATGGGCAGTTCTGTGCTGGGCATAGGCCTGTGCTCTGCCACAGATTGGGGAGGGGGCTACAGCAGCTGCCCCCCTCCCGCTGCCTCCCAGGGTGGACCCAACCTGGACTCAGGGCAGGGGGTTCAGGAGTTTCCCCTCCTCCACCCACAGCGGGCAGAGCCTGGTGGTGGGCGGGCAGGTGGCCCAGCAGTTATTGCACAGGGAGCAGCAGATAAGGAAGGGCACCCACAAGGCAGCAGCATCTGCCCAGAGCCCTTGGGCCCACCAACCAGGCAGTCCTCCAAGCTGGGCCCAGGGGCAGGAGTTGTGCTTGTGCGGGGGCTGGACAGAACGGCCCACCCCCGCCTCGTGCCCGCGGCTGCCTAGCGGGCTGCCCCCTGCGCCCCTCCCCCTTGGTCCACCGCCCTGCCCGCTCGCGCCGCCCCCAGAGGTACCCATCCTGAGGTAAAGGTCAGTGTGCGGGCCGGAGCCCAGGCGGCGCGGGTGGGCCGAACTTGGGCGGCCGCGTCACTCCAGCATGGCGTCCAGCTGGTCGGCCAGGTCGTCAAACATGCTGCCAATGTCGTCCAGGATGCTGCCGGTGCTCTTCTCGGCGGCCGAGGGGCTGGGGGCGGGCGCAGCGTGAACTGGCTGGGTTGGCGCAGAACTTCCAGCCCCCATGTCCCGCCCATTCAGCGCAAAGTCCCGCCCCTCGCGGAGGCCACGCCCCCGCACTCAGGGGCGGGGCCGGATCAGTCCACGCACTCCCCACATCTGCCCCGCTCCGCTCCCGGCCCACTCACAGTAGCCTCTGTCGGGGGCTGGGGCAGCTCGTAGAGCCCCGCCCACGCCAGGCCGTGCCCGGCGCAACTCGGGCCCGGCGCGACTCGGCACCGCTCTCGCAGGGCAGCCTCCAGGTGTGCACCCGCCGCGGGGGCGCAAAGCCCCCCACCTACGCCCACGCCGGACCGGGTCCTGCACCTACCGCGAGCCTTGCGCGTCCTCCTGCCGGATCTTCTCTTCTACGGCTTGCAGCGCCGCCGCCAGGCACGCGCTTGTCTCCTCAAGCTTCTGCCTGGCGCTGTCCCCCGGCGAGGCGCTGTCCCCCGGCGAGGCGCCGTCGGGCGCGGCGGGGGGCCCGGCTGCCGCTGCAGCAGCGCGCGGCGGCTTGGCAGGCACGTGCAGCGCGGGCACACCGGGGGACGGGGGCCTGGCCGGGCTGGCACTCAGCGAGGGTGGCGTGCTGGCGGGCTTGGTGAGGGCAGCAGGCGGCTGGCGTGCCGGCGAGGGCGACGGGCTGGCGCTGCCCGACTGCAGCCCCGCCGCTGCCTTGGCCGGCTTGGGCGCCGTGGGCGGTGGTGGCGGCTTGGGAGACACGGGCGGCGGCGTGCCGTGGGCACGCTTCACCTCTGCGGGGAAGAGGAGAGTCGCACCGGGATGGGAGGTCAGCGCAGCGCGCGCGCGCTGCCCATCCCGGCATAAGCCCTGCCCAAGCGCCCTGCCTCGAACCCGGGATTAGAGATAACGCCCTTTGCACTGCCGCCGGGCTCCAGCTCCAGCCCTCCGCCCCCGGCCTCCCTGAGGCTGCCAGGGGGCGCGCTTCCCTGTGCAGGCCTGCTTGGGTCACTGCTTCCAAACCCCGCCCGGTCCGCCCCCCACCTCCATTCCCCTCCAGGTGTGGCCTGTTGCAGACACCGGCCCTTCCGTTGCTTGAATGCCACAGGGCCTTTGCACCTCTGATCCTTCTGCCTGGAAGCCTCTCCCCTCCCTCCTGTGCTTGGGTCATTTTACAGCCAGGTCAGAATCCTCCCTTAGCCTTCCAGCATCGTGGGCCTGTCCTCCTTCCACAGGTGCTGCTACTCATGGGTTTCTGTGTCTCCTTCGCTGAGGAATGTAAGGATCATCCACCCTTGTCTCAGCTCTCATTGGTGAAGTGGTCCAGTGGGTGGATGGACGAGAGGGTCTGAGGATACTTTCCCACCCCACTCCACCTGGCCTTCATCAAATCCAAGAAGTGGAAAACCCCTCAGACCATGGTATGGGGAGCTGGAGGAGGGCCCTTCCCCAGCTGGCTCCCTGCAACCTACCTGGGCTGCCAGGACCTGGCAGTGGCACCTTCTTGGAGGCAGGTGTGGGTGAGCCCTGGATCTTGGGCACGGGCTGAGCCAGAATGGGCTTGGGAGAGACAGGTGGCTTGGCCGGCTTCCGGGCATCACTGTCTGGCGGGGGCAGCGGGGGCAGGTGCAACAGGTCAGAGGGCGGGGGCTCAGCGGGTGGCGGGGGCGGGGGCAGCTCTGGGGGCCCAGCCTGCTCAGAGGCCGGACGGCGGCGCACAGTGCCTGTTCCATTCTGGTACACGGACAGCAGTGGTAGGGGAGGCTCGGGACCTGCCTCCCTCTCCTTGGCCTTGGGCCGGCGCTTGACCGTGTCAGACTCAGTGAGGATGAACTTGACATTCTCCTGCTGGCTCTGCTTGGCTCGGATGCGCCTCTTGAGCGTGGCACTGGCCTCCACCCTGGCCAGTGGTGGGCCCTCCACACCCGCCTCACCCTTGGCTGGACCTCGAGGCCGCTGCCGGGTAGCGCCATCTTCCACAAAGTGGCCGTGATCTGCAGGCCCCCCTGGCTCTCCCGGACCCCGGCGAGCAGTGGCCAGAAGTCCTGTGACAGGCCCACTCAGTGTGCGGCGCCGGTTCACCATCTCGCCATCAGGCCCAATGGCCTCCTTGTGCTTCACCGAGGCCAACACCGTTGCCACCCGGCCTGGCTCTGGGCTGGCGGGGCGAAGCATGGGGTGGCCCTCAGGGGGCCTGCGGGCTGCCCGGCCCCCACCCCCAATGGATGACAGCTCGAGCATGGCTGCAATGCTCTTCACGCTGCCAGCGCTTCCTGTGTCCACACTGCCAGCCAGGTCACTAGCCCGCCGGCGCTGTGCCCGGACCCCCAGCCGGCCGTCCTCGGCCCCAGCCACCTCAGTCTCCGCATCTGGCACTGACTCATCAGCCAGGTTGGCACTGGCCATGGATGAGCTGGAGCGCTTGGGCGGGGGTGGGGGGGGGCCCTTCTTTCGCGGCCGCACAGCGAACGACTGGCTGCGGTTGACGTTCTTGTCAGTGCCAGCAGGTGCCCGCACCGAGTGGCTGCGGCCCACGCGCCGCTGGACTGTGGCGTAGGGCCCCGCTGCGGCCGGCACCAGCAGCTCGTCCCGCTCTGGCTCGCTGTCAGACGCCGCATAGCGATTCAGGCTGTGGGCGCGCTTCTTGGGCCGCCCTGACTCCATGTCGGCCTCAGGGGGCAGGCACAGCGTGGGCACAGGCGCAGGCACGGCCACAGGCGCAGGCCCCGGAGCAGCCGGCCCTGCCTCGCTCTCCACGGGTTGGGGCAGCACGTAGGCAAAGCCACGGTGTGTGGGTGACTGAGGCAGCGAGCGAGGTGACATGGGTCGCTCCATTGGTGGCAGCAGCTGTGGGGTGGGCTTCACCTTGGCTGTGGCTGGGGCTGGGCCATGAGGCCCCCCCAGGGCTTGCGGGGAGCCTGGCCGGGCTTTGGTGGGAGTCTGGGGGGGCGTGAAGTGGCTGGTACCTGGTGGAAGGACCTGCCGCGGCTTGCCAGGCACTGGGGGCACACTGGCCCGCTTGACGCTGTGGCCGTGGCGGCTGGGCCGGGCCTCCTTGGGGGGGGTACCCGGGGCCGGCCCCTCCTCCAGCAGGTACTCCTGGCTTCGTGACATGGGGCTGCCAGGCCCTGGGGGCCCATCGCCCAGCAGCTCCTGAGAACTGCTCATGTGCCGTGCCCGCCCACCCAGGCTGGGCTCCTGCCGCATGGAGGCCCTTGGGGTGGGCGGCAGGTGGTTGGAGGGCTTCTCAGTAGGGGCAGCGGCAGCGGCAGCCCCTTCATCCGGGCCCGTCAGGGCAGCCTGCAGCTCACCGCTGAGCTCACTGTCCTGGAAGGTGGTCATCTTAGGAGACTGGCAGTCAGCCGGGGCAGGCTCGGGTGGGGGTGGCGACTCGATGGCCATCACTTCAAGTGACTGTGGTACCTTCCGGCGCAGGGGTCCCCCCTCATACTTGGCATACTCTGCCTTCTGCAGCTCTGCCAGTTTCCTCACTGCCAGCATCAACTTCTTCTGGTGTCCTGAGTGGGGCGGGGGGCAGGTCAGGCCAGGGAGGGTGGCGGGGACCAGGAGGCAGTGGGGCCGGGGTGGGGCCTCACCCAGCTTGGTGATGCCGATCTCCTGCAGGTCTTCCCAGGTGATGTCGGTGATGAAGTCGATGTTCTCGTAGCCGTTGTCCACCAGCACCTTGTAGTACTGAGCCAGGCCAATCATGGACAGCCACATGGCCAGGTTAGCCTACGGAGTAGGGGACACAGAGGGCAGCCCGAGCTGGCTGCCCACACCCTGCCTATTACTCAGAGCTGTCAGAGGAGTGGGCACCGGGCCAGCCTGGCACAGAGAGACGGAAGGACAAACAGACAGGCCCGAGGCGTCAGCTTTGGAGACAGTGCAGCCTTGACAGGAGCCCAAGGCCAGCTCACACACACTTGCGAACATATGCAAACACACACAGAGGGGCGACTCTCTCCTCAGGATACCCTTTGGGGGAGGGGGAAGAATGCGCTTCTGGCAGAAGAATGCGCTTCCTCACCTGCCCAGGCAGCCACGGGGACAGCATGCACATGGACACACCATACACGTCATGGACACAGACACACAGCACCACCGACCAGATACGTGTATACACACACCCTGCATCCCAGCCATCCACGGGCACTGACACCCCTCTGAGTCACGCTCACGCTCTCTCACCACTTCCCCACCAGCATCAGGCACACGTCACACAGCCTCGTCACACGCCTGGCAAATATCTGTGATGGTCTTCACCCAGAACCACCGGTGGCTCCCTGAATGGCATTCACCTGTCCACACTCCCAGCTGGATGTCACTCATGCACCAACACAGGACACTCGGTCACCTCCTTGGGTGCACAAGCAAAGTGAAGCCCCTGGGACCCGGACGTGCTGGCTGGGAGGACCCCTGAGCCGCTGACTGAGTGGGGTGAGGCAGAGTGGATGAGCACAAACCCACCTGTCACCAACCGACAGCCCTGGGGCTCTCGGCGGCCATGGCATCTCCCTCACAGACGGGTGGAAGCCCAAAGCACAGCGCAAGGCCCAGAGAGGCAGCATGGATGTGACAGGCCCCGGGCCCATCTTCTCCCAGCCCAGAGCCTGTCCCACCACAGAGTGCCTGTTCGTGACAGCACGGGCTGCGGCTGGTGTGGCTGTCAGCCAGTGTGTGCAGTCACCAGTGGGCGCCTTGAATGTATTTAGCATACGCGTGCTGGGTACCCGAAGCACGCACAAGCGTCTTCCCCATACATGTGCCTGGGTGTGTGCAAGCACGTCCCATCCCCATGGCCCCCTGCAGTGTCTGGGTGTGTGTGTGATGGGCAGTGCTATGGTGTGCCGGGTGGCTCCGGTGTCCCTGTGTGGCTGCCTGAGTGTGGAACACACAGTGGAGATGGGGACTCTCCAGGCTTCAGGCTCCCCTTGCCCTGAGAGCCCTCAGAGGTGGTCACCACTGTCCCTGCCCCTGCCCCAGGGAGGCGGGCCCCAGTGCCCCTGATGGACAAACAGAGGTCATCCTCTGCTCTCCTCTCTCTGGACTCCCTGGAGGGCAGGGGTGGGCTGTAGCCAGGGAGGCAGGCTGTCTGTCTGTCTGTTTGCCCAACCTGGGACTGGCCACTGGGGTGCAGGGGGCCTTACGGGTTTGTGCTCAGGCAGCCAGTCGGGGATGCTCAGGCCGCTGATCTCTGCAGTGATCTTCTTCCGGTGGCCTGGCTTGGTGACCCCGATGGCCGTGAGGTCCTAGGTGGAGGAGAGGCCCATTAGCAGAGGCTGGGGGCCCATCTCTGGGTCAGCTGGTAGATAGCCTTCGGGCAGCTCACCTCAGGGGTCATGCGGCTGATGGTGGGCAGGTCATAGCCAGCGCTGATGAAGTTGGGGGCGTAGAGCTGCAGCTGGAACGTGGCAAGCCACTGGCTGACAGCCTCGGCGCCCTGGAAGACACAAGGCACCCGCTGCAGGCTTGCCCGCCTGCTCCCCCGCCAGGCATGCACCCCAGCCACCGCGGCGCCTCCTTCTCTGCTCAGCTGAAGACCACGCAGTGCAATCTGCTGTCCGCTGGGCCGTCTGCAGCCAGGCCCCGTCAGCCTGGCCCGGGTGCTCCTCCTCGCTCTGTGGTCCTGGGTGCCGCTGTCTTGAGCACTGTCCAGCACCTCGGCCTCCTTCTGTGATCTCCACCAGGAGGGTCCAGCTGCTGTCCACATCACAGGCCTCCCTGACCGTCCCCCCCATTCCTGGACCAGAGACACCCTGCAGTGTGGCCCCGTGTGAGGGGCTCTGGGAATGGGGCCTCAGGCGGGGCAATTTAGTGCTTCCCCTCTACACCCCAGAAGGTGGGCTCTACCCAGAGGAATGCAGGAGGACTCAGCCAGCAGCTCACGCCCGCCCTAGCACGCAGGTGCATGCACACAGGACTTGTCTCACCCACATACATGCCTTGGCTTGACTCACATCCATGCCATTCCACACACACACACATGTGCACATGTGCCCGCATCACAGTCACACCAGCCAAACACGCCCCCACTCACCTCACACCCGTGTCACACTTCCTAGACACACTAGCTTACACGCACAGCGTGTACAAGAGACAACAGCTACACACACAGACTGACAGACCAACAGAAGGACGGGCCCGGCCTGTCAAGGGCCCTGGCCGTGCTGCGGCCAAGCCAGGCAGGCTGCCCTGGGTGCCCCCCCACCTGCAGCCGGCCCAGGCCTTGTACCTTGCCCTCCGATGCTGTCTCCAGCTTTTTGGATGGCTGCTCCCCATAGACCTGCCCGGCATGGGTCACTGGAGTCTGGGACCGGGTGGCACCTGGGGACGAGAGGGTATGGTGGGGCAATGGCTGCCTGGGGGCCACCTCCCGGCCAGGCCAGCAGTGCTGTGTCCTTGCTCTTACCTGAAGAGCCCTCCGGAGGCTTGACAGGGCTGTCCCCGGGGCTGGAGTCGGAGACAGACTTCTGGGAGAGCACCGTGGCCAGGAGCTGCAACCCAGACAGGCTGGCTGGCCAGTGCTGCTCTAGACACAGGCCATCCCGGTCCTGCCACCAACCCACCTACCTTGACCCCTTCAGAGCCTGCGTGCAGGGTGTGGCCCCCGCTGCTCCGGCCACTGCCACTGGCCACACTGCTCAAGCTGCCACTGCGGTCCCCGCCTGCCAGCAGGAGGGAGCAGCATCAGCTAGTGCCAGCCCTGCAGAGCCCAGGTGCTGCCTTGCAGAAGTGCCACCACCACCACCCTCCAGAGGCCCCCACCTACCTGCAAATGGCTTCCTCAGCACCCAGATCTCCTCGGGGGGTGCAGAGGGCCCTGCTGAGCTGCATCCCTGGGGTGGGCTTGGTTCGGCACCTGCTCGGGAACCTGCTGGCCAAGCACAGTCTCCCTGAATCCTGGACTGGCCCAGGCCTGGGGCATTCCCTGGCCTGGCCCCCAGGTCTGCGCAGAGCAGAGGCTGGACACACACGTGCCTGGGGGGTCAGTACAGCCTCCTCCTGCCCTGTGTTTGAGGAGCTGAGCGACCCTCAGAAGGCCCTTCCCAACCTTGGACATTTGAGAGCAGGAGAGCATCGTAGAGAGGGGCGCAGGCCAGGCTATCCTGTGGTCCTGTAGGTGGGAGTAGGGAATTGCAGGAGAGTGCAAACCCCTGTGTGCCTGGGGAGCAGGGGGAGGGAGGAGGCCCCCAGGAGCCTGGGTCCAGGCTCCTCACCCCAGGGAACTAGATGACCTTGGGTGGATTGGCCACACCTCCTAACTGGCTCCCCTCTGCCCTCTCACCCGGCCTGTCAATCTCCATATCCTCTCTGTGGGGTAAACCAATCACACCAGTCCCCCATCTGAAGCCATTCCATGGCCCTATGGCCTCATCCTGCGCCCCCTCCCTCTCTGTCACCAAGTCAGCCACACTGGGCTCCTTTGGACCCTTACACAGTCACACTCTGTCCTGCTTCAGTGCCTTTGCATGTGTGGTTCCTGCTGCCTGGAATGCTCTGCCTGTGGCCAGCCCCTCCCACTTCTCAGGGCCTTCTCTGTCCACACTTGTCTAAAGTGGGTCTCCATCTGCAATCTCTGTGTCACTGGTTGGTACGTTTCCTTCCACATTTATTTTACTGTTCCCTTCCCTCCCTCCCCGAGGGCAAGCTCCTTGGGAGCAAGAATGACGTCCATCTATTCCTAGTGCCTGGCATGCAATGTCTGTTGAATACATGAAGGAGTGGGTCTGGGGACACTGATGAGGAGACAGCTGGCAAGACACACTCTGGACCCCACACCTAGCAATGACTAGAGCTGACAGTCCTTGCCCTACCACCCAAAACGCCGTGCACCTGCTTCCTTCTGGCCCGCGAGCCCATCCCCGGGTGGGACTTGCCTGCTCGCTTGACGATGGCCTCGCCCAGGGAGGAAGGGAAGTAGCCCACACGGTCATTGCCTGTCCTGTTGTCATGGATACAGCCCTTCCACCGGCCGTCTGGATGCTGCTCGAGGACCTGGTCAGATACGGTGGGAGGAGCATGCTCAGGGAGATACCCCTCCACGTCAAGTGGGTAGGTGGCCTTGGCCTCCTGCTCATACCCCCCAGTTGCTGCCAGGTGTTGCGGGGAGCATCCCAGGTCCCATTCATTCCTGTTCCAGCGGCCCCAGGCCATCCTTACTGTGATAATGTCCCCGGCTTTCACGTTGAGGCTGGTCAGGTCGTAATTGTTGCAATAATCCTTGGTTGCCCGGACCTGCAGGGCTGCCGAGGCCTCTGGGGACACAGGAGGCGGCAGACCCCCCAGTCCTGTGAGCCGGCCCGGCCCAGGCCCCAGCCCTGCCCCCCTGCCCCGCCCGGGCCCACCTCGCAGCAGCTGCTTGATCTCTTTGCTGGCCTGGGAGGTGGTGAATTGGTGCACGATGTCCAGGGCTGTCTGGCTGTAAGTGTTCCTCACGTGGGCATTGATCCCGTTCTGTATGTGCCAGAGGGTGAGGACTCTCAGGAGCCCCCTACACCCCCACTTGACCCCAGCTCCCTCCGGCCCCTAACTCACATCGAGCAGCAGCCGAACCACTTCCGTCTTCCCACAGAGTGCGGCCTCGTGCAGGGCCGTGCCGGACTTGGTCTGGCGGTTAATGTCAATGCCAGCTTGGAGGAGGAGTCTGACAGGGAGGTAGGAGGAGCAGGCAGGGCCCTGCACAGAGAGCCCTCTGCCCCAGCACCCCCAAGCCGGGCTCCAGTTCCTGGGGGCTGAGGATGAGCTAACCCTGTCCCACATCCCTGAAAAACCCTGTGTTAACCCTTCACACTCTTATCTCGTCTCATCCTAGTGTAGGCAGTGCTGCGATGCCCACTTTAAGGATGAGGAAACTGAGGCTCAGAGAAGTTAAGAGTCTCCTCAAGGTCACCCAGCAAGTGGCACAGGCTGTGGGGCTATAGAAGACCACTCCCCACCCCCCTCCAGTACATCCTTTATGTGGGCGGCTTGAGGCATCCTTCGTATCCAGAGACCTCACCACATCCCCACGGCTCCCTGGCTGCTCCTGTCTTATTGCCAAGCCAGAAGCAGGAACCCCAAGGCTGGGTGCCCCTTACCCCGCCCCCCCCCATGGCCATACCTGATGATGTCGATGTGGCCATTCTTGGCTGCCAGGTGCAGGGGGCTGGTGCCATTGGGGTTGGTTGTGTCCCCTGGCCGGGGCTCTAGCAAGGCCGCACACATGTTGCTGCTCAGGAGCAGCTGGACCACCTGGAAGGAGGGGTCAGAGTAGGGGGGCCCAGGAATGGGGTGGGGAGCTGCAGTTTGTCTCCCACTCCCACCCCAGGAGAAGAAGTTGGAGTCCCACTCAGCTCCCTGGGGAGACTTACCCCAACGCGGCCGAACTCACAGGCAAGGTCCAGGGGCGTCTTCCCCGAGTTGTCCACCATGCACGGGTTGGACTGGTGCTGGAGCAGCATCTCAGACTGCAGGGACCACAGGGTGTGGTCAGGCCCAATGCATCCGTCGGGCTCATTCTGCCCCAGGCACCCTGTCACCCTTGAGGTGGTCCTTACCACGTCGTAGTGACCATGCTGGGCCGCCAAGTGCAGGGGGATGTGGCCCTCATCAGACGGGACATTCACCGCTGAGCCCGCCTTCAGCACCAGCTTCATGGGCTCCTTCCGGCCCTGCCAGGCCGCATAGTGTAGCGGCCGCATGCCTGGGGGCAAGGGGGCGGTTGGGAGCTAGCCCCTGACCCTGAACCCAACCCTGACTTCTAGGACGCTGATCCCATGAGAACCTGCCTCAACCCAGACCAAGACCCGGGGCTGAGACCTCAGTTGAGGGGCCATCCTGGCCTCCAGGGACCCCAATTTTGACCTTGACCCCCTGCCTCTGGCTCTGAGGTCCCTGACAGGCCTTGCCTTTGTTGTCCTTGATGTCCACAGCAGCCTGGGCCTCCAGCAGCAGGGTGATCAATTCCGTGTTGCCATTCAGGGCTGCGTGGTGCAGGGCAGAAAAGCTGGGACAGGTGACAGACATGTATGGGCAAGGAGCCGGGCAACCTGCCTTCCCCAGGAGTCCTTGACCCCCATACCAGACTGACATCTCCCCGGGCTGAGAACTCACCCATCTGGGTCTTGGAAATTGACATTGATCTTCTTGGTGGAGCCCAGGAGCTCTGGGGTGGGAAGGAGACATGGTGAGGGAGGCTCCGTCCAGCCCCTACTGAGGCCTACCTGGGTCCCAGCCCCCTCTAGACAGAGAGCAGGCAGAGAGCGGCTGGCTAGCTCCCTGGCAGGCTCAGAGCCAAAGCTATCTAGGTCTTTAGTCTAGAAACGTTCATTCATTCAACCCTGTTTCCAGCACTCAGCATCAGGTACCAGCTTTTGGCCCTTGGTTTCCCACTGAACTAAGACGTTGGGAGGTTCATAGGCCCTGTCCCTGTCTGGGAACAGAAGCCAGGGCTGTACACCCACACAGGCGCACACATGTGCACATGAACCCCCCTCCCTTGAGACGCTGGCTGAGCACCTGCCAATGGTGGGAGGGAGAGAGCCAGCCCAATCTGTCTCTCAGAAGGACCCAGATGGGGCCGGGGGTGGCCCAGGAAGGCTGGAACACCCGGAAATGGGGGTATCTCTGGGGAAGATCTGCATTTCCAGGGTTCAGCCTCCCCCAACTCCCAGCCCCGGGCCTGGCCTGTGTAGATGAGCCCCATTTGGCAGGGCAGGATGGGGAGGCAGGCAAGTGGGCCAGTGCCTCCAAGCAACCACATTACAATGGCCCCCTCATCTAGGGGCATGCGCAGGCCCTAGGGTCAGCCCGCCTGAAGCCCGAGGGGCTCCAGCCCTCCCTTGGGGGTCCCAGTCTCCTCCCGGGGCGTCCCCAGTCCTGGCCTCCACCAGCCGCCTGCCAGAGGAGGGGAGCCCACCGATGCCCTCCCCGTGGGCTCAGGTCCAGCCGGACTCGGGCCAATCCCCTGCCTGTCTGGGCCACGGTTACATAAACCATTTGTGGGTCAGTCACTCTGTGAGGGAGGGGCTGGCAGGACAGAAGCCCCTTTGTCCAGGCTCAGGACAGGGATGGGGGCAGGGGGCTGAGGGAGTCGAGTCACAGAGGGGCTGCTGCAGGGCCTGCTCTGTGACCCACAGCAGCTCCGGCTGCTCCGGCCTCAGTTCTCAGCTTTTGGATATAGGGTGTGGGTCCCCCAATGGCCCACAAAGTCAGACGGGCCTGAATTCAAATCCTCCCTCTGCCCCTTACTAGCCCTGAGGCCTTGGCTGTGAGCTCGAAGGGTCTAACAGGGCCAGCCTCACAGGCCTAAGGGCGCCTCCAGACAACACATGAAGGGTCTGACACAGAGTCAGCTCAGCACGTGGCAGTTCCTAATACTAGCCCTATAGGAATCCCACCCCACCCTCCCCAGTGAGGGGCTTCTCCGGTGAAGAGCCAAAGAGCTGAGGCTCCAGGACAAGAGGTATCTCCACTCCCCTGCCCCTCCCCCCGCCTCAGACACTTGGCTGATGCTAACGGCTGTCTAAGTTGGCAGCAGTGCCACCCTTCCTTCCCCGTGGTGGTCCAGGGCAAAACCTTGGAGGCAGCCCTGGGTCCTTTCTTGAGCCCTTATAACTTCTCCATCGGTCAATCCTGTTGGCTCTACTTTCAAGACACTTTCAAAGCACACCTGGAATCCTACCCTTTCTCACCAGCACCATCATCACCACCCTGGGCCAGGCCAGCATCCCTCGAAGGACCACTGCCATCACCTCCCCCTGACATCCCCATTTCCACCCTGCCCCCTCCAGTCCATCCTCCATACCCACTGAGGTCAGGGGGACCCCGTTAGAACATGGGTCCGGTCCCATTGCTCCTGTCTCAATGGGGTTGGAGGCCAAAGCCGGACAATAGCCCTGTATGATGCAGCCCTCCTTTCACTTTGACTTCCTCCTCACCCCTGTTCCAGCCACCTGAGCCTCCTTGATGGCACTCCAACACACCTGTCTCCCCTGCCACAGGGCCTTTGCACATGCTCTGTGTGTGTGCGTGTGTGTGTGTGTGTGTGTGTGTGAGCCATTCTTCCCTCAATTATCCCCATTATTCCCTCTTCATGTCCTTCAGGTCTCTATCCAAGACCTGCTTGTCAAAGCCTCCTCCCCCATCTAAAATGGTAATCCCCTGGGAGTTTCCTGGTGGTCCAGTGGTTAGGACTCGGCACTTTCACTGCCATGGCCCAGGTTCAGTCCCTGGTTGGGGAACTAAGATCCTGCAAGCTGTGCGGTGTGGCCAAAAAATAAAGAATAAAGAAAACGGTAATCCCCTTCCCATCTCGTGTCTGTTGTATTTTTCTCTTTAGCCTTCATACCACCATTTATCTTGTTTATTGTCCATCTCCATCACTAAATTACAGGCTCCAAGAGGACAATGGTTTTTATCTATTTTGCTCACTGCCGTATCCTTCCTGGCTAAAACACTACCAGGTGCACACACAGTGCTCAGTAACTGGTGACTGAACTGTACCCTCATCCCACACACTTTGTCCACCTGCCAGAGCCGGCTTCAAGTGTGTCACCTGTGCAACAACTCAGAAGAGCCCCACACCTGGCTGGATGCTCTGCTGTCGCGAGATTGTTATTTTGTTTGTTTTGGGGGTTTTTTTTTGGCCCCATCTTGTGGCATGCGGAACTTCCCTGACCAGGGATTGAACCCGCGCCCGCTGCAGTGAAAGCGTGGAGTCTTAACCACTGGACTACCAGGGAAGGCCTATTATTTTTTTGGACAAGTCACACCCCCACCATTTTCATTTTGCGCTGGGCTCTGTGGATTATGCGGCTGGGCCTGCCACGGTCCCTTGTCATGAAGCTGAAGGGAGCCCAGGCATCGCTGTCCCCAAGCACCCCTGCCTTGCTCAAGCCCACCCTCAGCACATTCCCCTACCAAAAGGCTCTGCCCCCCAACTCTAATGTCTGCTGCCCCCCACCCTTCTTAGTTCCCATGTAGCCAGTTCTCAGCTTCTCCCCACAAGACTTCCCAGGCCAGCTCGCTCTCCTCCCTCCCGCAGCCAGGGTGCCCAGGCAGCTACGGAGCCAGGTGCTCTGAGTGGCGCCCAAGGCCAGGCCCACCTGCTTGCCCAGTCACAGCTGCAGGTGCTGAAATCTCAGAGGGGCTGGAGATTGAGGCCCAGGAAGTGACACAGACACCAGTGGGGAGAGGGTGTCTCCATCCAGAAGGGGATCACTCCCCACAGGAGAAGGAGCATCTTGCTAAGGTCATCTTCCCCGCCCCCCTTCCGGCCGCTGGTCTCCTCAAAGAGGAAAAGTGCTGGAATTGGATGAAAGGGGGCTTGAGGTCTTGAAGCACCCCCAATTCCCATGGGGACACTGGACACCCGGGAAGGTCCCAGAACTGCAGCCTGCCTGGGGCTGGGGGGCTGCACCTCATGGAGACAGGTGCTCTGAATGAAGCTGGAGCAGAGCGCAGCTTCAGGGGCCTGGGTAGGTGGGAGAGAGGAGGGAAAGTGGGGATAAGCTGAAGGCCCCAGGAGCCCCTTTCCCTTTTCCACAAGGGCACTAAGTCCTACAGATTGCCATCAGTCATAGTGCATATGCCTTGCCCCTGACCGCCCCCATGACTTGGGCTCTCCAGTCTCCTATCACCCCAGCCCTCTAACTGCTCTCCTGATACTACCCCTACCTTTGAAGTCACCTCCAAACTCCAGCTGCAGAGGCCCTGGGGGGAGCCCACCCCAGACCCTTTTCCACTCTACCCTTGTGGCCTCCCTCCACCCCTCTGCCAAGATGCTCCTCCAACCACGGAAGCCACCCACAAGCCACCTCCACAGAGCCACATCTGTCTCCTACAGGGACGTGGTCTTGGCCTCCTCTGCTCCCACCTCAGATTGGCTGAGCCCTGTAGCCGCCAGCATAGAAAGGCACCCTCTCAAATCCCCCAGGGCAGGTAGCTCTGAGCCAGACGCTGGAAGGGAACTCTTAGTGGGCCAAGGTGAGTGAGCACAGGAGCGCTGGCCGTAGTCTTCAGTGAAATGGAAGAAAGGGGAGGTTGGGCCCGAAGGAAGGGCAGGGTGTCTGCCCACACCCCAGAAGACCAACCTCCACCCCAGTATTTTCTCTCCCTGGCAGTCTCTTCTTCACTTCAAGGATGATTGCTAAGGGTGACGGTGCCTGTGCCTGTAAGTGGAGGCTCCCTTCAGGCAGGATAGGGGTGCTGACAGAGCCTGGGGTGTCACTGGGGTGTGGGGTGAAGGGAAGGTGTCAGCACAGGGAGGAGACTGTGGAAACAAGAATCGTGGGAACACCTCTGGAGTTGGGGGCCGCAGGGAGCACCGCTGGATGCCCCCTACCCCATGGCCCAAACTCCAGCTGTACTTTGCTGAATCAAAATACATCTTACTCCAAAGCAGGCCAGTGTTGCCATGACAACCGAGCTAATTCATGGAGGGATTTCTCCATCTGATTTATTATGCCCGCCCCTGTGAGTCAGAGAGCCCAGATTCGGGTGCCAGGGCAGGTGTCTCTCCTACCCGGAGACCAGGCCATGCAGGGTCAAATGCAGAGATCTAGGCGGAGACACAGGTAGAGGTAAAGGTCCCCACACCTCCCCCAGATGGCCAGAGTAGAAGGGGGGAGGAGTCCCCAAATCTGATGCCCCCCACTTCCTTGGCGCCCCGCCCTGGGCCGTCTAGGAAATGGCCACAGTTAGCACTTCCGGAGCACTTACTAAGTGCCTGGGCTTCATGCATGTACTCACTGTTCTTACAACAATGCCACGAGGCAGGGACCACAAACGTCCCCATCCTACAGATGAGGAGACTGAAGCCCAGAGACTGGAGATGCCTGTGCCCAAGGTCGATGGCCACTAGGTGGAAGACTTTGCCTTGCCTTCCACCTCTCAATCCCTGAGCCTGCTTTTGAGGCTCAGCTAAGGTTGCCTCTGCCTGAAAGCCCTCCCTTTCTGAACCCTGAGGCCCTGAAGCCAGCCCTAACTGGCAGACTATCCCTGGGCCTCCGCTGTGGAAGGCAGGGCCCACCTGTGTATGTGTTCTTGCAAGGCACAGATGAGCAGCTCTCTAACTGCACAGAGCAGATAGTAGCAGCCAGGCAGGGGCTGCAGTGGGAGGGGTCCTCCTGGGGCTCAAGGACCTACCCCCACCTGCCCCAGAGACTGTCTCAGTTCTCAGCATCTCCCCTGGAGAGATGGGAGGGTACCTCCCTGGCTTACATACAGTCCCAGGGGGTGGCATGGGGAGTCGGGGCACCCAGACCCCACCTGCTACCCAGCAGAGCCCTGCCCGCGCCCGCACAGGTGCCCTGACACACTGACACGGCCATACGTGCGCAGTCACACACGCGGCTGGTCCACACGCCCATCCATCCATCTCCAGGGTCCCCGGGGGAGGCTCCAGGCTGAGCTGGGATGAGTGCTGGGATCAGGGCACCAAGCTTCCAACCATCCCCTGGGACCCCCACAGAACAAGCTCAGGATGGCCAGTGGGAGACCCCCTCCCCCCCCAGTCTCATTTTCCAGCAGGGAAGCCAGAGGGGACCAGGGTCTGCACCTGCCTCGAACTCAGCCTGCCCTGGGCTGGGCGACCTTGGGCCTCTGCTCCCCCTTCAGTAAATGGCCCCCAGCCGGCCATGCCTGGGCAGCCACACCCCCAGCATGGTCCTGCCACCCCCCCTTCCTGCTAAGCATGTTATTAAACATGGGGCGGGGAGGGGGTCTGACAGAGACTGTCAGCCCTGTGGTCTCCCCTTACTGCAAGAGGCCCCTCCCTCTCTCCATGGCGTGGGGGGGGGAATCCGCCTCGCCCTTTAAAGGCCCAGAAGAGACCTCCAGCTGTCAGCCCGCAGCCCGGGAAGGGAGGGAACGGAGGCAGGAGAGAGGGATGCGAATGCCTGCGGCCTGGAAGGTGGGTGCCGCCAGGTGCCCGCTGGGGGGCTCAGGTGACGGCCTGGCACTCGATGCAGCCCCTCCTTCAGTGCTGGCAGCGGGGGGCACAGACGGAGGGTCTGGGCGCTGCTGGCCCCGCCCCGCCCCCGGGGACCCGACAGCATCCCCCTCCCCGCCCTGCACCGGGCGGGGTGGGGGGCTCGGCGCTGGAGACGGCCCCGGGGCGCGCCGCGGCTCGCGCCCGCTCCCCGCGCCCCCCATACCCCCCGCACTCACTGGCCTTTCCGGGCCGCGGCCTCTGCAGCAGCCTCTGCGCGGTCCCCACGTCCTCCGCCTTCACCGCCTGCACCAGTTCCTGCTCCTTCCCCATGGCGCGACCGGGGCCGCAGCGACGCGGCTGAGCTCCGTGCGCTCGGCGCGGCTCAGAGGCGGCGGCGGCCCCACGGCACCCGCCGCATCCTCCTCCCTCCCCCGCAGCCTCCTCCGCCGCCCGCGCCCCTCGCTGTCCTCGGGCTCCGGCTCGGTCTCGGTCTCCCAGCGCGGAGGGGGCGGGGAGCGCGTCACGGGCGGGGGGCGGCCCGGGGGCGGGGGCCGGCGGCGGCGGGAGCGGGGCGGGGGCCGGCGGCGGCGGGAGCTGGGCGGGGGCGCGGCACCTGGCGCCGCCTCCCGGACGCCTGGGTCCCCCTTCCGCGGCCGCTGACCTCGGTGCGCCCGCGCCGGCCGCGCGCCCGACTCCTTGGCTCCGCCCCTACATTAGGACCCGTCCTCCCGAGACGCCCCCTCCCCACGTGCGGGCCGCGCGGCTCAGGCCCGGCCTCTGCGGACCCCGCGCGGCCCCGGCGACCGCCAGGGGCTAGGGACAGCAGCCGCCGGGGGGCCGGACACTGAGCCCCGAGTCGGCGGCGGCGCCAGGCAGAGCCTGAGAGAGGCTTCCAGAGGCTGCGGGACCCACGGGGGGAGGGACTCAGGCAGTGGGCGGGCGGGGACCTGGGCATGGAGCTAGATACCCGGGCATCGGCGGCACAGAAGCCGGCCCGCCGGGGGCTGTCAGACATTTCTGGCCCGTGGTTCCCGTGGGAGGTGTCGAAGGACTGTGAAGAGGAATCTCCCAATAATGAATTCGGTGTCAGGGAACCCTACCTCCCCCTCCCGCAACTGAACCTTCATGCCCTGCAGCCTCTGGCTCTCTCCACAAACAATGCTAGGCGACCCCCCACCGCCCCCTCCTCAGTCGAACCCCAACCTCAGTGCACCTGCCCAGCACCAACTGGGGTTCAGCCCCTCACACTTACCACTAAGAGGGGCTCGGCTCCCCCATCCCCAGCACCAACTGGGGTGTAACTCTTCAGGTCTACCACCCAGGGGGTTTCAGTCCCCCCATTCGCAGCACCAATGGGGTCACAGCCCTGCCCAGCAGCAGTCTGAACCCCACAGAAGCCTGCTTACCCCCAGCCTCCAGGCACAAATTCTGGCAGCCCCACAGGGAACTGTTCTGCTTGACACTCACCCTCCCCCCCCCCCCCCCCCCCCCCCCCCCCCCCCCCACACATCCAGAGGTCTCTCCCTTCTGACCTCCTGGGTCTTAGCCTCCGGTCTTCACCTTGTCATGGCTGCAGCATTCTAGAGACAGACTGGTTGGGGTCTGTGTCCTGGCTCAGGTTCTGTTTCCTCATTTGCAGGGAAGGGCATATCATCACCCCAACCAGGCAAAGTTGTTAGAACCTTGGGAAGGTTCACACATATGATGGCTGGACACCCCCCCATCTCCCTATGGCCCAGGCCATCAAGCTGGTCCAGGAAGAAGGTGGCCAGAGTGTGGAGGAGGGCAAGCAGCAGGCACTGGGAGTCCCTGATCTGGACAGCTGGTCAGTCCCCTCTGTGGGCTCTTCTGTGAAATTTAGGGAGCAAGCCTATGCCTCCCACTGTGCTGGGCTCCCACAGGGGTCCCTAAACACAAGGGCCCTTCCCCCCACCCTTTATGGTGACCAATTCCTGGGCACCTGCTGGGTCAGGCACCATGCTGGTCACTTCATAGATGAGCTTGGACTTACTGTGCCCTTTTTACAAATGAAGAAAGTAAGGCTCAGAAAAGCCAAGTGACTCACCTGAGGTCCCAGAGTCTCCAGGTCATGAGTCTGAGATTTGAACCCACATCGGCCTCTTCATTTGTCCCAGATCTGCCTCTTACCAGGTTTGTTTTTCCAGTCACTTTGTCTTTCTGAGTCTCAGTTCCCCCTCCATAAAATGGGGGAATGATACCTCCCAGTAGATTATTTGAGGATTAACTGTGATGCTACTCATAAAGCACCTCACAGAACTTAGTAAGTTCTCAGCAAATAGCTTCTGTGGATATTGTGATATTCTTGGGCCTTCCTACCTGGGCCATCTGGGTAGCAGCTGCATTTTATTCATCTTCGTGTCTGCAGAGCCAAGCAGTGTGCCTAGCACACAGGAAACACTACAAAAAAAAAAAAAAGATAGTTATTATCCTTACCATTATTTTCATGTTTTGGCTGGCTAAGGCAAACCACTCTGGCCTGAGCCTAACATTTTCAGGGCCTGGGGCAAGAGTACAAACAGAGGCCCACACACCAAATGTCTAAGTATTCAAATGTTATAAATCATGCTAATAATGTATTAAATAAAATATATTCTGCCATCCTACCTTGACAAATACACCTTCATCATGAACTGAAAGGCCAAGTTCTAGTTTTGAATTATCGCATAGCTCTGGGAAATGAACTGGCCCCTGCCTCCAGCTGCCTCACCTCCGTTCTCTGCCCACTTCCAGCTCCAGCTCCAACTCTACCCAACAAGCAGGTAGCCCTTAGTCACTCCTCAGACCTAAGCTTGGGCAACTTGCTGTGGGGTCCACCTTCTGGAGGACAGACCTGGGAAGAAAGCTGTACAGAGTCTACTAGATTCATCCTGGTAAGTGAGGCTAACGCCCTAGGAGGAGTCAGGAATTCTAGACCCGCTACCCACCAGCCCAGTGAACCTGGGACAAGCTCCCTAAGCTCAGCTGCCTCATCTGGAAAATGGGTCAGCAGCTCTGCCTGCAGTCCAAGGCTGATGGGAGGGTCCATCTGGAAACAGAGATGTGAATCTTCCTGGGGTCCCCCCAGCCTGGGGACGGGGGCAGCACAGCAGGCCATCTGCTCTGGCTGGGGGTATGAGGATGCAGAGGCGTGGGACTTGGGCAGCCCTCCAGGAAGTCAGGCCTCCGAGGACGATCCCAGGAGGAGGGGCCGCTGAGCCAGCAGAATTGCTGAGGCTCAGCCTGGAGTAGAGCTGGCTGCTGCTTCACTGCAGCCTGGGCTGGCCCCCTTCCCAGCTGCACGGCAACCTCCCCCTTCCCCTGGCAGCAGTGCAACCCCTGCTCCTGTCCACCAGCTGTGCGCCCGCTCAGGGACTCCCTGGTACCCCTCCCAGCCCCCCAGAGCCCTGATGCCCAGCCCCTTAAGTATAAACTGGGGATGACGAATGTACCCTCCTCACGGGCTGCTGGGAGCATGAAGCATGATAGCTGCCAAGGTTTCCATCTTCTCAAAGATGCCACCTCTGTAAAGTGCTCAGCTGATGCTTGGTACATAAGAAGGGATCAACAATCATGGTCCTATCTCCCCTTCCTGCCCAGCAGAGATGCTGGGGCTGCTCAGGCTGGGCATGGAGCCTGGCCTGGTCTCTCAGTTACCCATAGGCACGAGACATGTGCAGCCCTCCACCCAGAGTCCCCACAAAAAGGCAGACAGCTCAGGACTTGCCCCCCTGGGCCACAGATACCCCACAGACATCTGGCTGAGTCTTCCAGCCCTCCTTTGCTCTCACCTCTCTCTCCCGCTCTCAGGCTCTCAGGGTTTATCCAGCTCTGGACTTGCCCCCCTGGGCCACAGATACCCCACAGACATCTGGCTGAGTCTTCCAGCCCTCCTTTGCTCTCACCTCTCTCTCTCGCTCTCAGGCTCTCAGGGTTTATCCTGCTCTGGACATCCTTCAGGTGCTAGGGTTCACAGGGCTATTCCTCTCCCAGGCTTCCAAGCCCACATATCCAACTGCCACTCCCCAGAGCTGCCTCTGAGCCTGGTGGAGCTGCCCTGGGGAGCTCCTCTACGTAGAGAGGAAGATGAAGAGGATGTTTGAGGTGCGGAGGTTGCCTGGGAAGTAGTCACCTCAGCCAGAAGGGGGGAGATCAGGGGAGGGATGAGCCCAGCAGGATGGGTTCTGCCATGTTCTAGCCGCGTGCCCTTGGATACATGACTCTACGTCTCTGAGGCTCAGTTTTCTCGCCTCCAAAATAGGGGGTGGTTCCTCCTTGGCAGGGTTATTGCGAGGACCCAATGCAGAACGTGGGTAAAACGCTCAGCATAGTTTGGCGGTTCCTCGAAAAGTTAAACATGGAATTACCACACGATGCAGCAATTCCACTCCTAGTATATACCCAAGAAAAATTAAAACGTGTACTCAAAGAGATAATTGTACAGAAAATTTCATTTGTAATAGCTAAGAAGTGGAAACAACTCAAGTTTCCATCAATGAACAGATGAATGGATAAATAAAATGGGGTCCATCCACACAATGGAATATTATTCAGCCATAAAAAGGAATGAAGTACTGACACAGGCTACAACCTGGATGAACCTTGAAAATGTTATGCCCAGTGAAAAAAGCCAGACACAAAAGGTCTGTTGTAGGATTTCATTTATATGAAATGTCCAGAAAAGGTAAATCCATAGAGACAGAAAGCAGATTACTGGTTGCCAGGGGCTGAGGGGAGGTGGGGTGGGGGGATGGCGAGTGAGTGCTTAACTGGCGGTGGGGGAGATGGGGTTCTTTGGGGATGATGGAAATGTTCTGAAACTAGATAGAAGTGGTGTTTGCACAACTGTGAAGGTACTAAGTGCCACTGAATTGTTCAGTTAAAAATGGTTACTTTCATGTAATGTGAATTTCACCTCAATTAAAACAAAACACCCAGTATAGCCCCCCACACAGAATAAGCTCTCAAAATGCTATGAAAAGTCCTGAAAAAAACAGTTCAGCAGTTGAAGAGGTAGAGGTGAAGCATCCTAGGTGTGGGCAAGCATTCAAAGAGAGGGTGTAGTGAATTCTCAGACTGTTGTTCACTCATGGCTTGTGGAGTGGAGAGAAGGAGAAGCCGCAGGGTTGGCAGGGGCTGGGCCCAGGAGTCTGGAGGGTAACGGGGGACCCCTGCAGGCTTCTAACAGGGGTCAGACTTAGGTTTTTAGAAGACCACTCTGTAATGTGAAGGACAGCCTGGAGGGGGCAGGAGTGGGTGTGGGGAGGCTGTTCCGGGAGAGGGAGTGGTGGCCCATCTTGCCTCACTGTCATACATGGGTGGGCACTGCACACAGAAGGGGAAGCCTTTGGGGGTAGGTCGATCATGAACTGTCTTGGCCGTGGAAAGTGGTGTCCATGGGGCCTTCAATGGAAAATGTCAAACAGGGAGCCAGATGTGAGCTGGAGACAGGGTGGAAAGGCCCCGGACCAGGGATGGCACTGAAAGCCCTGAAGAGTGGGCAAGAGCCCCCAGGGATAGTGTGGAGACAGGAACTCTGGAGGCCACCAGCCTTTAGGGGAAGGCAGAGTAAGAGACTGAGTGCAGGGCAAGAAGCTGGGTGGCAGTCACGGGAGTTTTCTAGGAGCAGTGCTGTCAGCCACTGTGCAGACAGATGTGGCGAGATGCAGAAGGAAAAGTATCCACTGGGTTTGGCAATGTGAGGTGGCCAGGGACCTCGTGAAATTTTCACTGGAGAGCTGGGAGTAAAAGACATGACAGGGTCAAGCAGTGAGTGAGAAGTGAGAACAGATCTTTGAAAGAGAGCAGGCTTGAAAGAGTTTTGAGTTGCTTTATGGTGTTGAAATGCTGAGGGGAAGGAAAGAGGGGAGGTGGGGAAGGTACAGGAAAGAAGGTTCCCAGGACCCAGGGCCTGGGTGGATAGGCAGGGGACATGGCCTTGATCAAGGGGCCTGAGGAAGGAAGGGGGGGGTGGAGCTGCATTTATAAGCATGGTGGGAAGAAACCATGGGAGAGCCTGTCTCAAGGACTCTTTCGAGGATGAGGCCACGTGTGTAGAGTGTGGGAAGGCTGGATGGAAAAAGCGGCAAGAGGGACTCCAGTTTTTGAGGGGTCACTGGGATTAGTGAGGGGACCCGAGGGTCAGACCCTGGCTGGACAGTCCTGAAAGGGACCAGAGTAGGGTTGCCTGATCTAGCAAATAAAACCACAGGACAACTAGCTACACTTGAATTTCACCTAGGCGACGAAGAACTTTTTAGTATAAGTATATCCCATGCAATATTTGGGATATACTTATACTTAGCAAAACAAAACATATAGTTTATCTGAATTCAAATGCAACTGGATGTCCTGTAATTTACCTGGGAATCCTAGCCCCGCGTGGGAATCAGGGGATGGATGGGAGGGAGTCGATGGTGCAACCCGGCCTGGAGAATGGGTCCCAGAAGGGTGAGGTGCCCGAGTGGGGAAAAGGCTGGGGTCGCCGCTTTCGTCCACCGGCGCCGCCCGATACCGCAGAGGCCCGTATTGAGGAGCCCCTGCCCCAGAACTCTAGCCTCGTCCCCCGTCCCTGCTCCCCTTACGCCCCTTGGTGTCGCCCTAATGGCCCATCGATAACTCTACGCTCAGCCTCGGCCTCTATCGACTTGCTCCGGCTCCGCTAGGCGTCCTGGACCGCGGCGGAACGCAGAGCAGCAAGTAAGGTACGGAGGCCGCGGGGCGAGGGCTGGAAAGCGGCTTTCAGTGGCCGGGAGAGCGCGCCCGGGGGAAGCTGGCTCAGCGGGACGGAGTCAGGGTGGTCGACGGAGCACCTGGAAGCTCGAGGGTCCAGCCAGAAAGCACCCCCGCCCATCAGGTCCAGCCACCGGCCTGCTACGCATGCGCAGCCGTAGCATTCAGGCTTTTCTCTCCGGCCTGCCCGCTTCGCTGCGCTTGCGCGGCCCGGCCCTGCGGCGGAGTGGCGCCCCGGCCGTGACTGCCCCCTGCCGGCCGCGGGTAGGGTGGCATTCCGGCAGGGTTCTTGGGGCGGGGAACGGAGCATGCGCCTTGGAGCTCGGCGCTGTCCTTCGCCGGGTGTCACGCGTATCCCTGAAACTCTCTGAGCCTCAGTTTCCCCACATCTAAAATGGGGATGATTTTATTTTTTAGCACCGAGTAATCTGTTGTAATCTGTTTAGGACATAGAGGGTATTCCCTAAACACTGCACTCCTCTCTCTTCTCCGGATGCTCTGATCTCTGACCCCTGCCGGTCAGACCTAGGGCCCTGTGTAGATCCGAGTCTTTCAAGCAGCCACACCATGAACACGTCTCCAGGTACGGTGGGCAGTGACCCCGTCATCTTGGCCACTGCAGGCTATGACCACACGGTGCGGTTCTGGCAGGCCCACAGCGGGATCTGTACGCGAACGGTGCAGCACCAGGACTCCGTATCCTCCACTGTGGAGTTGGGGCAGGTGGTGCTGGGCAGGATGCCTGGTAGGGATAACAGTCTGGGCAAAGGCCTCCGGTGGGAAGGATGGGCTCTGTTTATCATCCTCCTTAACAGACCTAGCAGGTGAACGCGCTGGAGATCACACCTGACCGCAGCATGATTGCTGCTGCAGGTACCTGTACCCTCGACCCCAACCCCTGATTTCTCATAGGTCCATCTAGGCGCAGCCACACTTCAGTTTGGCCTGTGCCCCTAGGTTACCAGCACATTCGCATGTATGATCTCAACTCCAATAACCCCAACCCCATCATCAGCTATGACGGGGTCAACAAGAACATCGCGTCTGTGGGCTTCCACGAGGACGGCCGCTGGATGTACACTGGTGGGGAGGACTGCACTGCCCGGATCTGGGACCTCAGGTGTGGGGTACTGGGCAGGAGGGGTCTGCTGCCTGGGTGTGTGGGGGTGAGGGTCAGGCTGGGAGACTGTCTTAGCTCAGGTCCCCTCCAAGCAGAGGCTGAGACGGGGTTTTCTGTGCAGGTGACTTATTGAGGGCCAAGTGAGGAAAGATAGGGCAGGGATGAAGACCCACAGAGACGAGCAGAGCCTCAACCTGATCCAATAGGCAGCTCTGGAATGAACTGCATCAAACAATGAGCCCCGCCTTGAGGCAAGGGGCCACCCTTTATGCCCCTCTGAGTCAGTTATTGGCTTCAAGCTGCCCCTGGGGAGGGCCAAACCTCCCATTTCCTATGGGATAGCTCCCATCGTAGAGAGACAGAATAAGTGGCCAGGGAAAGGGCCTTTCGGTGGAGTACCAATGGCATCCACTATAGACAGAGTGTGTCCCCCACCTCGAAGGTCCCGGAACCTGCAGTGTCAGCGGATCTTCCAGGTGAATGCGCCCATTAACTGTGTGTGCCTGCACCCCAACCAGGTGAGGGGGAAGCACAGGGCTGGGCACCCTGGGGCTTTGGAGGGCAGGGGTCCTGCCCCACCTCACCTCCCCTGCACCTCAGGCAGAACTCATTGTGGGTGACCAGAGTGGCGCCATCCACATCTGGGACTTGAAAACTGACCACAACGAGCAGCTGATCCCGGAGCCTGAGGTCTCTATCACATCGGCCCACATCGACCCGGACGCTAGCTACATGGCCGCGGTCAATAGCACTGTGAGTCCCAGGGACGGGTGTGCAGCTCGGCTCCCAGCCCCTTACCTTCCTTATTCCCAGAAGGTGGGCTTATTCCCCGAAGGTGGGCTTATTCCCCGAAGGTGGGCTTATTCCCCAGATGTCCCTCTGGCCCCTCCCCTCCCCCCACAGTCCTGCTTCCCCATCCTGGACTCCAGCTCTGGCCCAGCCACCAAAGCCAGAAACCTGGGTGTCACTCCTGATGCTACCTCTCGCTACCTGCCATAGCCCACCCAGCAGTCCAGTCACCTCCATCTCCAGAGTCTTTCCAGTTGTCCATTTCTTTCTCCTCCCTGTCTCCTCCTGATCCAAGTTTCCCTCGTCTCTCCCGACAGTGGTTGCAGCCTCTCTGACCTCCTTCCTTTTTCTGTGACCTCCCCCTGCCCCTAACCCATTTTCCCTCGACTGCCAGAGCATCCTTCAGCAGTACCAGCCTGACTGCATCCTTCCCCTGGGTGAACTGCAAGATGCTCTAGGCTCCTTACCAGGGCCTCAGGACACTGTGATTTGACCCCTGGACTCCTATCCAGCCTCATTTTCTTCCTTTAACGTCCATTCAGTCTCAGCAAATCAGTTGTTCCCGACATCCCCAGACCGCCCACTTCCAAGCCTTTGCCCTGCTGTTCCCTCTATCTGGGTGCCCTCCTCTCATCTTGTTCTTCACATTCTTGGCCAGCGGCATCCTTCAGGAAGGCCAGGCATGGCCTCCTGCCCTCAGTTCATCAGGTATGGCCCTTGGTTGGGGCCAGGTCACCCAGGTGCTCCTTGCAGGCAGGGCCAGATGTGCCTGTCACATGTCCCCTGGCCCCCAGGATGGCAGCCCCTGGATCTAGGTCTTGCTGCCAGGGCATCCTTCCCCACCTGTCAGACCGGAGGCTCCGGGCCTCCCGTGACTTCCCTCCTACACCACAGGGGAACTGCTATGTCTGGAACCTGACTGGGGGCATCGGTGATGAGGTGACACAGCTCATCCCCAAGACCAAGATCCCAGCACACACCCGCTATGCCCTGCAGTGCCGCTTCAGCCCAGACTCCACGTGTGTGCAGGGCCTGGGGGGCCGGGAGCCCTTGCATGGCTGCGGGGAGGAAGCAGTGTGCCTGAGGCTGGGGGCCTAATGCATTGGGCCTGCTTGGAGGACGGCAAGGGGGTACAGGATGGGAGTGGCCGTTGATGACACCCCTGCCACGCTCACACCCACCCCCAGGCTCCTAGCCACCTGCTCGGCCGACCAGACATGCAAGATTTGGAGGACGTCCAACTTCTCCCTGATGACGGAGCTGAGCATCAAGAGCAGCAACCCTGGAGAGTCATCCCGAGGCTGGATGTGGGGCTGCGCCTTCTCGGGGGACTCCCAGTACATAGTCACCGGTGAGCCCCGCCTGCCTGCCGTGCCTCCCTGCGCCCGTTGGCCCGGCCTGGGGCTGCACTCTGAGCCGCCACCCATGCTCTCCCTCCCTGCAGCTTCCTCTGACAACCTGGCCCGGCTCTGGTGTGTGGAGACGGGAGAGATCAAGAGAGAGTACGGCGGCCACCAGAAAGCTGTTGTCTGCTTGGCCTTCAACGACAGTGTGCTGGGCTAACCTGTGTCCCCTCAGGATTGCAGGCAGCTGTCCAGGCGGCACCAGCTGGATGTGTCTGTCCAGCTGCCCAGATCAGAGTGACACCCCATGGCTGGTCTCTACCATCCTAGGCTCACTGGACCTGACTGACCTACCCTGGTCCCTGGCCAGACTAGACTGGCCAGGCTGGTCCATCCTGGGACTCTCTCAGCCCCGGCTGCTTACATGGATGTGAGGAGGCTCAGGAGGCCCACCCTAGGCAGCTTGCATTCCCTTCAGAAATTCTGGACCCACAGGGCCTAGAGCCGCTGAGGGGGATCCGAAGCTGGTGCCCACCCCCAAGCCAGTGCCTCCTCCTTCCCCTCCCTGCCACTGTTTCGTGTCCCGAGGCCACAGAGGACACCGTCATGGCCAGGTGGAGTTGTTTATTAGCCCCACCAGCGGCTACCCTCCATGGACTGGTGATCGCGCCAGCCAGTTGGCTGGCCTGAGGGGCTGCGCTGCAAGGGCTTAATCCGGGAGGTAATAAAAGCAGACGGACATGCAGATGTCGCTTGGGAAGCAGATGTCGATGCATAGGTAGATCAGCCGCCGCCTCTGGGGCCCTGGGGGGAGGGGCCTCCATGATCCCTAAAGGACTCCTTCCCCACCCCGCCACCGACTGTCCTGCGGGAGCCCAGGCCCCTCCACACAGCCTGCCCCAACTCACTCTCTGCTCGTCGGGCCCAGTAAATGGGGGTCTTTGCACAAAGGTTCCGCACAGAAGCCCCCACCTGGGCAGGGTCCACCTCACGGCTCCCAAGCACTGCCAGCAGCTCCTGGGCATAGTGGGTGTCCTGGCTGGGGCTGCGAGTCCCTTGGGGCTGCAGAGAAGGACACTCGCACTGCCCCTGGCTGGGTTGGGCCCACATGTCCCTGGACATGCTGGCATTGTGCCAGCCCTGCCCTGGCTCTTGTCAGCAGCCTCAACCAAAGGAAGATAGAGCTTCTGTTCCCCTGAAACTGGAGCCCCATCCTGCCCCGGGCCCAAGCCACACACAGGACCCTTTGTCTGGCCCCTGGCCGGAGGCTCCTTACCCAAGAGGTGTTCACCAGCAGCTGCAGGGTCTCGCGGTCTCGGGGTTCCATCAGGCGGAGGAAGCAGGCCCGGTGCTCTGAGGGGCGGTAACAGACACAACCCTGGGAAGGCAGGCAGGTGAGGCAGGGCCACCTGAATATCCACCCCCGCCCCCACCGCCCTCCCCAGGCCACTCACGCTCTGCCCGTCGAACAGCACTGCCCAGCTGTGGTTGCTCTGAGCTGGAGTCACCCTGATGGTTGCCACGTTCTGGGCCACGTCCACCTGTTTGGTTTGGTTGGACCAGGGTACCCTGGAGCTCGGGAGGGTCAGACGGAGTGTCTGCAGCAGTGGCTAAGAGTGGGAAGCAGGAGCTCAGCTGGCCAGGCTGGAGCAGACCCCAACACTCCCCCAGCCCTGCTGCGAGACTTCTAACCCCACCACCCCTCTGGTCCTCCTGCTGTCTGCTCCGAGCCCTGGCTCCACTGTAAGTGTGGGCTATGCTGGTCTCTCCTCCTCCTCCCCACTGTCTGTGCCCTGCCCGGGTCCTGAGGGGGCCTCACCTTGAGAGGGCTGTGAGCGAAGCCAAGAAGCCCTCCAGCCACAGCCCCAGCGGTGGCCAGTGCCAGCAGCAGCAATAGCAGGCCAGGAGCTCTCCAGCCCCCGTGGCAGGGCTTGGTCTTCACGTGGAGGCACATTGCAGTCAGTGGGGCCTGGAGTAGAGACCAGGCAACAGGCTGGCTCAGGGAAGGAAGGGGCTGAGGAGGTATGGGAGGTGGACGCTTCTCCTGCCCCTGCAGGACAGGCCCTGGGTCTTTGTCCAAGGAGAGGGCACCGAGTGGTGGGAGGCACTCACCCCGACAGGTCCAGACCCGGGTCTCTCGGCCCGGCAGCTCCCCTGCTCCATGATGCAGCCCTGGTGACAATGCGCTGATTGTCTGCTGCAGCCTGGGAAACCTCAGGACACCTCCGATGAGTCAAACAATCGACCTGGCCCCTTCCCCTCCTGACCCCCCCTGCCTCCTCCCCAGCCCGGCTACCTGATATCCGGGTCAGAGACAGGTCACGTTGGGAGGCTGCTCGTCACTGTGCCTGGCTCTCCCAACACCTGGCCTGTGCAGACCAGAGCGCACATGGTCACGGGAGGTCATGAGAGCGTGGCCACTGTGGAAGTCAGGACCCAGCGGCTGGCACAGAGAGCAGCTCAGGCCTGGCCGACTTTATATAGGGAGTCTAGTTGGAGGCAGATTTAATTTTTCCTAAAGAAGCCTGTTTCTAGTCTCTCGGGTTACCTCTACACTCCCAGGACTGGGTACAAGGCCTGGCACGCAGCAGACCATTAACAGGTGCCTGTTTCATGAATGACAGGCATGGGACTCTGTGCCACTTCCCTTTCCTCCCCATGCACCCCAGCTGCTCCCAGCTGCTTCCCAGCCCCCACCAACACAGGGCACCCCCCCAGGTAGGTGCCTGCCTGAGACCAGGATGGCTTCCAGGAGGCTCCACTGCGGTGAGGACAGCTTCCTGAAATCTCCTGCACACCCCAGGATGGTTAAGTCAGCCTCATGTCCACTGACCCCTGCCCTGCCCAGCGTGGCTTTCTCTGACTGGTGCCGTGCATTTCTAGCTGCTTGATGCTGTGGATCCCAACAGTTAGTGGCCCTCAGCACTGGCAGCTTTCAGGGAGTGCATTCCTTAACCAGCTTCACCCCACGGCCCTTTCATACTCTGGTTTTTTTTGTCCCTTGTTTTTCCTGATTCTTCAGAACCTGACTCCCTGCAGTGGGCCTGAAATGGGGTGGAGTTGCTGTGGTCAGCGTCCCAACTCTGGAATTGGAATCCCAGAATGGCCTTGTACTGAGTGTACCCGGCCCTGCTGCCCTTTCCACTGCCCAGCTGTGGTGAGACAGCTGCACCCTGTGTGAAGGCTGCTGTCTAGGCGAGAGCGAGGAACACCGGAGTCAGCTGGGGTTTGAGAGTTTAATATACCTTTGGGTTCATACAGTGCAATGGGGTGTAGACATGATGCACAGGGCTCCCGGGCCGCCGCCCAGCAGAAAAGGGAGGTGTTGCTGGCTGCTGCACCTGCCGCGTGTTCCTGGTGTGGGTGACAACGCCCTGACAGGCCTGCTCAATATCCTGACCCACCTTGAGCCGACCTCGCAGAGCCAACGTCAGCACCACCAACCTCACAGGCGCCCGCTGCCCTCCTGTTGCCTACAGCAGAGTCCGAACCCCAGACACCCAGGCCTGGGGGGAGCTGGAGGCTCAGGACACCCTTTATTGCTCTGAGCACTCTTACGAGAGTTAATGAAGGAGCACTGTGACCCTGGGGCTAGGAGAAAAGTCACAGGATCTGGGCAGATGCCACTGGGTGCAGGGTGAGGCGCCAGGAAGGAGTCGGCCAAAAGGAACAGCTTCCCAGGCCCTACCCTACAAGTGCGGCCAGAGAGTCTGCTTATCAGGCCTATACTCAACGGTCAGCAACTTAGGGAACAGGCAGAAAAGGCACGGCCCCCTGCCAAAAACCCTTGGCTAGCCAGTGGACCCTTCCAGTCCTCCAGATGGCAACTGACAAGGGACTCCAGGGTCAAAATAGGTGGCCTCATGGACCACTGACATATGACACCCATCCCAACCAAGACAGGAAAAGACTGGATGCTCTGTAAAAGGACTTCCTGTTTTGAGGGACACCTCTTTCCTCCTCTACCCAGAGGGAGCCTTGGGTGACAAGCATTCCTTAGCCAGCACATGCCTTTGGCCATACTGCTGGCTGCGGGGCACGGAGACTTCTTCAGTGGGATTTTCCCTACAAGACAGAGCACAGCTATTAATCGACACGCTTACGGTTCAATTCCACCACTTGACAAAGTTGTTCAAAAGTTAAAAAAACTTTTGGTACCAATGCTGCTCTGAGCTCCCTGCACGGCAGCCCAGAGTTCAACGAAGGCATTCATACCCTCCTGGCGCTCAGCAAACAATATGCTCAGTCCAAGTCACCTGGGTTTATATGCACATTTGGAAAAGATGAGGTTTAGCCAGGCTGAGTTTACAGAACTGCACAATCGTGCATGAGGAGTTGCAGCCCTGGGTATCTAAAACGGAACATACACTCAATTGTGACATCAGAGTGGTTTTTAAGGAAGTGTGGGGTGGTGGTGAGGGCAGCACCCCACACCCCATGGACAGGGAGACACCACCTGAGACCAGCCCTTTCCTCCACTCCCAACCTGCAGGTGAGGGGCTGAGGCAGCAGTAGGCTCCTCTGCTGATGACCACACAGACGGGGCCCTGGGTTTCTCACAACAGTCAAAATAATCAGCTCCTCCTCCCCAGGATCCCTAAAATTTTCAATAAAATACATGACATCCCAAGACCCACCTCAGTCCCATTAGCAGGCCCCAAGGTTACCTGAATCCTAGACATATGCTGAACCCAACTGCGAGACCAATTGGCACCTAAGGCCCAGGACCCCCACAATGCCCTCCAAGCTTAAAAGTGCATCTTAAAATATAAGCATTTGTAAAAATCCAACCCCCCAAACATTTACTTACAAGGTTAACAACTAGTACCTTTGCTTAACTCCAAGTAAGCAAACTTGAAGCCACCTAGCTGAGTGATGCTTAAGCCCCACCTATTAATTTGGGTGATTTTCAATTTTTTCTTTATTCTGGAGATTAAAGACACTAAATCTTTAACCTTGAAGGGCAGGCAAAAGGTCGGCTATGCTGTCAACATAGAAGTCAGGGACCATTTTCTTCTTAGACAGGCAGTCACTTTCCTGATTACTCTTCACATCCCGCAGAGTGGAGACCCCAGTGAGGGTCAGGATGGTCTTCAGACCACAAGTGACGCCCAGGAGGATGTCTGTGTCCAGGCGATCACCCACCATGATGGTGCGCTCCGGGTTGATGCCATATTCCTGGGACACGCAGTCGAAGATGAAGCGGCTGGGCTTCCCTATGACGTCGGCTTGGCGCTGCGCGGCCATCTCCACGGCTCGGACCAGACAGCCGGTACCTGCGGGGCGGAGAAGGAAAGGAGGAGAGTGCCGGGGGTCAGAGGCCGGGAGGGACCCGTCGCTCGCCCTCCAGCCTCCCTCCCCCGGGGCGCACGGACCCGCGATGAAGCGGCCGTTCTCGAGTGGGAGCCGGTTGTCCATGTTGGTGCCCACGAGCAGGCAGCCGGGCTGCTGCAGGTAGCGCACGGCCTTCGTGAGCTTCATGTAGCTGAAGTGTGGGTCGAAGCCCACCACGACGGCGCGCACATCAGGCTCCAGGGGCTCATCCAGCCAGGCGCTGGGGCCGTCGCCCTGCAGCGGCTCGGGCCCCACGCCCACGCAGGAGACGCCCACGGCCTCCAGCTCGGTGGCCAGGGCCACGCTGCCCAGCACGTAGGCCTTGGGGGTCGGCGGACCGGTCAGGCGCTGGCGCAGGTAGAGCGCGGTACAGTAGGCCGTGCCGAAGACCTCACTGCCGGCGCCGGGCCCCG